CGAGTGAGTCCAACTAAAGCTGTATGCCTCATTCCCATCAAAGCCAAAGCATTTCTCTCTCCCAAAATATACTCAAATTGAATTTGCTCTGAGTTTCAACAAGATGCAGCAGCAGCACCATGGTAAGCCTTAAGCCAACCCATCTCTCTCTCTCTCTCTCTCTCTCTCTCTCTCTCTCTCTCTCTCTCTCTCTTTAATATCAAAATTCTGTTTGATGATATGTTTTTAGATGTTGGTGGGTATGCCAAGGTCAACCCTACAATGCGCATCTTATCTGCCTTCTTTGTTGGGCTCGTGGCTGCCGCGGCAGCCGCCACCAGTAGCTATCGCCGGAAAAAGTCGTCCAAGGCGTTGAGAGCCCCAAACAACATCTCCCCACGGATAGACAGGACAGAATCCGGCCGTGTCGGAAATATCGAGAGATTCTCCCATTATGTTGGTAATGTTATATCATGTAGGAAAAACCTTAGGTAGCTTATTGGATTTTACTCACAAATTTTATCTCTTTTTTGTGTGGTAATTATTGTCATGAACACACAATTATTTCAAAAAATACATTAAATTTATTTATTTATTTTTAAATTTGTTTGTGCAGCTAGGCAACTGGGAATTTTAGATGCAAATGAGTGTCCCCAGCTATGCAAGTTAGCTTATGATTACTTGAGAAAATCCAAAGGGTATGAAGATATCTATGCATATCTGGCTTCGGAAGCAGATGCAGAATCTCTCTGCATAAGTTTAATGCAAGAATTTGAAAGATGCATCCTCAGTTATTTTGCATTTCATTGGAGTCAAGCTACTCTTATGATATCTCAGGTAAATATTTTTACATTCTTATTTTAGCTTCTGAAGACAAAAAGTCAAACCAGAAATTTAATATATAAATAAACTAGCACATTTGGGTTTCTTTTCATTTCTATTTTATTATTTATTCACCTTCTTTTTATATTCTTTTTCTTCATCTATCAACTTCTCCATGGCTAACTTGCAGGTTTTGAATGTAGAGACTAAGAAGAAAACGAAGCTCAAAGACCTAGTATTGACAGCTACCAGGTTACTTTCTCTTACATTTATTTCCTTTACGTATAGCACATAAATATATTTTTCTTTTTTCAAATAAAATTATTCCCCCTATTCGTCTTGATAAAAGAAAAGTACAAAAATAGATTAAATTGAGCAAAATGTATCCCAACTAATTAAGTCGCCACTAGGATTTCACTGAGCCTTTGCCCTTGCTCCACTAGCCCTTGCTCTATTACCCAGGAATAGACCACGTATATTTCAACCGTAGAATTATGACTTGTATCGAGCCACTTACGCTAACAACATCAACAAATATTTTTCGCTTTTTTGTTTTTTGTACCCTCTGTTTTCAATAATCCAATATCGAATTGCGCTTAGAAAAAATCAAAATTAAGAAAGAAAAAAAAGGCAAAACCCAGCCTCTGCCTTCGTCCTCTCAATAGTGGACCTGGAAATGATGCCAGGGAAGTCGCCTACTTTGGATAAACAAACCATTTTTGGCCTATCTTTTTCAGAATTTGGTACTTACAACAACGACAAGCCTTTCATCTCTACTTTATTAAAGAGGAAGTAAAGTAAGCCAATAATGAATGGATAAGTCTCTCCTCTGAGATGCGTTAGTGACTTCCACCAACTTTGTTTTTAGTAGTTTCCGTATTTATCCCTTACACTTCAGTTCTTGTGTTTGAATTCTCCGCTCTCAATTTTTTTTTAATTATAAAAAAATAGAAAAAAAAGCTCAAAACACAAAATACTTGGCCCTCCGAGAAAAAAAGAAAAGAATGACAATAAATATTTCAATAAAGACTAAGGCCGAGTCGTTTTCATGTACTACTCATTGCGGTCAGAAAATCAGTACTCGACCACACAAAAGATATGTCGACCCGATCTACTAAAATATCACAACAAACGCATCTGTTGGGAACTGTCAGATTTGGACACATTAGCAATGGCGATAATGAATTTTCCTTTTAGAAATACTACACGCATACACCAACTCCCTTCCATAGGGTGGATGGATCCTACAAAAGTCATACATGATTTTATAATTTCTTCGTAAAATCCAAGTCGTGTGAGAAAGTTGCAATTTCTTCGTAAAATCCAAGTCATGTGAGAAAGTTGAGATAACTGTTGTTTTTTTTTCCCGTCAAAACAATAGTTGTGTTGAAAGAATACAAGTAGATGGAAGGAGCTCAAACCATTAACCTAGCTTATAATTCTTACATATATCTCCCCACCAATTGAGCTAAACCCTACGGGTTTCAGCACGTACCAAATTAACTTGTCGTATAAGCGTGTATGTGTAACATTTTAGAAAGGGAAAAAGAATATTTTGCAGGTGTTAGGAGAATATTAGAAATTAATGAGACTATTTTATATCATTTGTGCCTAATCTTTGGGACCGTATTTGACTTTGGTTTCATAGGAAGCAGAGATTTGAGAGGATCAGCAGGGAACTAAAAGTGACAAGGGTGTTCTCTACGTTGGTGGAGGAAATGAAAGCAATAAAGGCAGAATCACAATGTACGGACGTGATGGTGCCGGTGGCCCATAGTGAGAGGAGCCCCGTGCTTCTACTTATGGGTGGTGGGATGGGCGCTGGCAAGAGCACTGTGCTCAAAGACATTCTCAAAGAGTAATACTTGGGGGTCATATTATTTATTGATGATGTAGTAGTTAATGATATTGATGGAGTGTGCTAATTAGTCGGGCATATATATGCAGGCCATTCTGGTCAGGAGCAGCAGCAAAGGCTGTGGTTGTTGAGGCAGATGCTTTCAAAGAGACAGATGTGATTTACAGAGCCCTCAGCTCTAGAGGTCACCACACTGACATGCTCCAAACTGCTGAATTGGTAAATCTCTCTCTCATATTTTTGTCCAAAAATATGAAGACATCTTATGCTATGTAAGTATGTGTTACCCTTTGCTTCACAGACAAGAGATGATATGAGAAACTATGAAATATTGTAGAAGAGTAATATTAAGGGGATCAAAATTTCGGAGTACATAAATTCGTCGAACAGTGTAACAGTTGATGTATTAATTAACAATTAATCATATAACTAAATGAATTACATACATCATAAGTACTAGCTATTAATTTAGTGATATTCTCCTTATTTGCGGCATCCCATTATAGAAGTCAAGTTATCTGATTTTATGAAATGACTGATTAACCAACACAGGTGCACCAATCATCCACTGATGCTGCATCATCGCTCCTAGTGACTGCACTCAACGAAGGACGGGATGTGATCATGGATGGCACCCTGTCGTGGGCACCCTTTGTTGAGCAGACAATCGACATGGCCCGGCACGTTCACAAATGCCGGTACCGGATGGGGGTTGGGTACAAGGTGGCTGAGGATGGCACCATTACTGAAAACTATTGGGAACGAGTGGGTGAAGAAGAGGATCTTCATGACCAGCAGAAGATTAAGAGTGGACAGGAACCCAAGAGAAAACCATACAGAATTGAGTTAGTTGGAGTTGTTTGTGATGCTTATTTAGCTGTTGTTAGAGGCATCAGAAGGGCTATAATGGTTAGGAGGGCAGTGAGGGTGAATTCACAGTTGCAATCCCACAAGAGATTTGCTAGCGCTTTTTACGGATATTGCCAGCTTGTTGATAATGCCAGGCTCTACTGCACCAATTCTATGACTTCCCCTCCTACGGTAAGTCTCGTAACTCCTAACTTATCGAGACTATATTTTTATACACATTTGTCTCATTACATGACGAGAAACTTGATGTGTTAATGATTATTTTTTATGTTAGTACACATTAATTGTCACATCCTGTGATCAGCTAGCTAGCTAACGTGAGCTATATCGTGCATATGCATAGCATGAAATTTACTGACTAGGATTTGTGTGTAAATATGCAGCTGATAGGATGGAAGGATGGAGGGAACAGGCTACTGGTAGATATTGAAGAAATCAAATGCTTGACAAACTTAAGCAGTTTGAACTCTGATGCAGAATCCATATACGAGCTTTATATGCAGAACCCAAGCCTTATACTGGAGCCTGGTTCTTGTTGGAAAGACTTTGTTTTGTCCCCTTCAAGGCCAAGCCTTCAGCAGAAGCTAAGAGCTATCATTCAAAAAATTGAAATTTCAAAGACGCTAACAAATTAGATTGATCCATATTTGCGTCTTTATTTGAAATTCTGTAAATGGAAAATTTTAAGAATGCATTGGACTTTTATACACATTTCTGTGACAGGTTTGTTTAAAGAAAAGAAAAAGGAAGAAAATAATTCAATAACACTAACAAAACCGTACCATACATAAAAAGGAACAAACAAAATAAAACTACGCAAATGAAATAAAATGCTACTTTGTTACACACGCAAAAAAGAAAGAATGATGATAAGAAGATGATCACATTTTTATCCAAGGGGGAAAAAAGATTGACCAATATATTTGAGATAAACGGATGCTATTAACAGTTTATCACTTAAGAAACTACTAAGAGTATGAAATCCCACATGAGGGAATTGAAGCCTTGCTTAATGCTATAAAACATCTTCGACGTCTTCACTCATTCCCAATTCGTTTTGAATGTTATGCTCACATTATATTATGGTACAAGAGCAAACTACCAATGTAACCTGCCCCAACTTAGTTATTGTTTAGAAATACCAAAATTATTCAACCCACTCAAACAAAAATTGAAAACCAAAAAAAAAAAAAAAAAAAAAAAAAAAAAAAAAAAAAAAAAAAAAACAAAACAAACAACACCAAGGATTTAATTTAGAGCCCAGTTCCTTGCCCCATGATCAGCCCAATAACCGAGCCCAATTCAAATCTCGTTCTAGGGCTACTCATAACCTGAGCACCACCACCCAATCGATAGATATAAATTCAGCTTGCAAAACCTCTTGCTTCTCGAAAACCCTAGCGGCCACAGATCCAAAGGTTTTTGAGCTTTTCTCCCACCTAGTGTTTCCGTTTCCGAAAGCTCCACAACCATGGTAAAACTCCAACTCCACACTCTCTGTGAATCGCATCATTTCACTCTTAATTTCTCTCTGTTAACTCTCTCTATGTTATCTGGGTTTTCAGGCGGACGTTGAGACCGATGTGGCGGCAGCCGGAGTTCCCAAGAAGAGGACGTTCAAGAAGTTCAGCTTCAGAGGTGTCGATTTGGATGCTCTTCTCGACATGTCGACTGATGAGCTTGTCAAGCTCTTCCCTGCCAGAGCTCGCAGAAGGTAAAGATTTTCACTCGAATCACTCGATAAAATCTGTTTTGGTGCTTTGTTGGTGGTTTTGTGAATTGGGTTTGAGTTCGTTGGTTTGGATTTCATTTGATGAATAGGTTTCAGAGGGGTCTCAAGCGCAAGCCCATGGCTTTGATCAAGAAGCTGCGCAAAGCGGTAATTTTCCTGAAGCTATTAGTTGAAAAATGTTACATGTTTTGTGTTTGGATCTTGTATTTAGTTGGGTTATGTGATTTTTGATGATTGATCTGTTGTTGTGAATGAGATGTGTTTGTTATTTTCGCCTTTTCATTTTTCTCCAAGTAATCAGCTGAAATTCTTACTTTGTATTCAAAGTTGTGATTTATTAACGGTTTTGATGCATTATAGTTGATGGTAATGTCTGTCCTGCAGTTGCCTCCCATGCTCAAGCATATGTGCAATGCATCAATTTCTATCAAAATTGATTTTTCTTATTGCAAATGATTTGTGTTATGAAAGTATAAACTCAGTATTACTGTTATTCCATATATGCTTGGTTTCATTTTGATTATTAAATATGGTATTGTGTTGGTTTGCCGCCCATTATTCTTATTACATTCATATAAACTTTGTGCTGAATTGTATGCTCACTGTAGAAATAAATTGTATGATCAATGTGGTAGTTTTAAGGGCCTTTAAAGTCATAGTAGGAATGTGAAAGGGTGCTGGCAGGGCAGTATGTAAGTTGTGATTTGTTAGGCCCTGCTGTTTAAAAAATTGCAATGGATCTAGCGAAAACCAAATTGAACTAATTTTTGAGTTAAATTTACTTTAGAAAATTCATTGTTCTCCCATCATTGAATTTACATTGAGCTATATTTTGACTGATGGACTGGTAACTTTTATGCACTTGTTGGTAGTGGAACTTGTATTTGTGGGTTTATATAAATAGGAATTTCACTTGAATGCCAGTGTTTGTTTTTGTCTGGATTAATGGCTGGTGACAGATGAGCATTGATGTTGTAAAATACTATTTTGGTGTTAGAATCAAGTATTTTTGTTCCTTGTTCCTCCTGAGTCTTCTTGCCGGTGGTTGTATTGGCTGATGAAAGTTTGTTGCTAATCATGAGTTTTTTGTTGCTTGGAACAGAAAAGGGAGGCTCCACCCGGTGAAAAGCCAGAACCAGTCCGCACTCATCTGCGTAACATGATTATAGTGCCAGAAATGATTGGAAGCATTATTGGTGTGTACAATGGTAAGACCTTCAATCAGGTTGAAATCAAGCCTGAAATGATCAGCCACTACCTTGCTGAGTTCTCAATCTCATACAAGCCTGTGAAGCACGGTAGGCCTGGTATTGGTGCCACCCACTCTTCGAGGTTCATTCCTCTTAAGTGAGATCCTTACCTGCTGTCTAGATATCTAATCGTGTTGTTTCTGAAGACTTTGATGCCGATCAAATTTTTGCTCATTACTATTCAGTTTTGTTTATGTTTCGACTTGCGTTGATTACTCTTTAGATGGAAGTTAAATTTACAGTTGGGGTTTCAGACGAATGATCTCAATTTTCTATTTAATGTATGAGAACTTGAATTTAAATATGTGTTTCGTTAGTCACAACTTATATCATATTACATGATGTGTACATTTAGGGGCATCAATATGGTTAGGTGGTTTGATTCAATTACGAGTTTGTGTAAGCTGCCAGTTTGTATTGATTGACCCATTAGAATTGTCGCTACTCTCTAGAACGCATTAGAATGGAACATGATTAATATGAAGATATGGAATTGGGAATCAATCAATGAAACTTGGCTCATGAGACGAACTCTATTAACAGAGCGGACTTGGCTTCTGAATGAAGGCATTAGGATTCAAAGCAACCAGCGGGGTTTTGTTATTTAACCTTGCCAAACCATGATATTAATTAGGGGCCGGTCGGTGAATTTGGAGAGGTCAAAAATTGCTTTTATGGAGAATTACTTGTCTATATAATTATTTTAAGTTGTTTTAGATGATTATATGGAGAAGCAGGGGCCTATTTAAAATCGTTTGGCAGTGGTTTTAAATGATTATATGATGGGGAAATTTCAAGCCAGTTTCCACCCCTACGTTGGGGCCTCTTTTATCATTAGTTTATATTTTCTTTCACCTAATACAAATATCTCATCAGCCATCCATATTTTCTCCTCGTGCTCGATTAGAGTATAGTAATACAGTTTCATGCTTGGCAGTGTGGTCAAATTCGCGACATCGATTTTTCAATCCACTAAGAAACAAAAATGGACCCCAAATCCAATACCATAGTTTCCAATACTAAAGGTCAAAAGTGACGCCAACTGAGCTGACTTTACGCTGAGCAATCAATCAGTGCTCTGCTTTTCTTGGGGAAAGAATTCAACGGGTCTTCTTCCCTTCACCTGCCTGGAAATGAAAACCGAAGTTTCCTCTCAGCTTCATAGAGGGTTTCTTGCAAGGCCTCTTCTATCTCCGCCGCCCCAATCTGTCAACAAGTACAATAAAATAGGTCAAAATCAGAATTATATGACTGGTGAGAAAGACCACGTGTGCATTTTGCTATATTTCAATTTGGGAATAATAAGACTTTTTCTATGATATCTTCCTATCTATTTCCATGCATAAAGCTTTTAGACGTAGGTGTCATTGTTGGCCAAGAAACGAAAGGTAATATGTGTCACTCCAAAATAAAATAATGAAGTCGGTATCATATCAATTATCAACCTTGATTGGTAAATAGTGAGCGTGATATGTGGTTCAAATTAGAGAAACGTGGAGAGTTGGAGAGTCAAATTTCAAGTTATGTTAGGCATATACATGACTCCATGTGTGTTTAATTTTATCCCTTAATTACACATGATATAAACTTTTGCGATTAAATGGGCAATTATGTAACCTCCTTTCTTTTTCTCAAATCTAATTTAAGAACAAAAAAATCAAATCAATTAAGACAGCTCATGAGAAGCAAGGAGGCAATGTCCTTTAGCAACCTTATTCCAATTTTGAAGAGCAAATTTGTTTCTTTTTTCTTTTTTCTTGATGACAGGGGACAAATGATTTGAACTCTCTAATTTAGAAAGGCTTGCTAGCATTTGAAGAAAAGAACCAGAAAAAAAGAGTTGTAATACTTTTGTGAGAGAGAGAGAGAGAGAGAGAGAGAGAGAGACCTTGGTTTCAATTTCCAGCTCTGCTGAAAACTCCTGGGCATCGAAATTAGATTGAATATTTCTGGCTTTCAACCCCAAATATTGCAAGCACCTAAGAACCTCCAGCATAGAATCAACCCCTGATGTTGGATTTGCCACCCTTAATCTAATCTTGCTCCAATTCACTCGCTCCTTTTCGTTTGCCACCAAAATGGCTTCAACCTCCATGTTCCTCTTTCTCAGCTCCTCCTTATACCTCTGCAGCTGCTGAATATTCATGGCTGTCATTTGCACAATCCAGTTCTTATCACTCTGCAAAAATGCAACACAATATTTTTTTTAGTCCTTCCTCATTTTAAATCACACGAAATAAAGTGCAGGATGAAAATTTTGGAGTAGTGAGACAGCTCTCAATAATTTAATTTAATTGATTAAACACCAACCTTGGCTCCAGTAGGCAGCATGGAATGCAAGGCCATGTAGCCCTGCTTCTGCTTCTCCCTCCTCATGCGCTCGTTGAGCATGTGGCTAAAACCGCGTTCTCTGCAGTCCTCTCCAGTTACGATTCTGGCAGTTGCAGGTGCCCAACTTTTCCTCAGGAACTGTACCATCCTCTTGTTCATGTTCATGGAGTTAGGAGGCTTATCAAGCCCCTTTTCAGTGATGGGTCTGCTTGTGTAGGGCACAAAAGCTCTTTGGTTTAGTACTGGAAGACTCTCATACGACAAAAACTCACCTTCCAGTGCTTCAAGGATATATTGGTCCATGTTCATCTTCTTTTCTTCTCTCTCTCCCTGTCTCCGTGTTTGTGCCGGGAACTTCAAATTTTTGTTGTGGCAGTTAATATATAAGGCTCCACTTCTGGAACTGCGTTTTCTTTTCTCCAGTTAAAACGCATTTAACACGTGGTCAACTATCTGGTTTTGGTCAAGGAGACTTTTTTTCAAGTTTGTTTTTCTTTTTCTTTTTTTATTTTTTTTTAGCGTGTATGGCCATATAGGGGACGCCGTAGTCAAAAGGACACGTCACACAACTTGCATTGGGGTGTCAAACTTAATGGCTTGGGGGTCTCTTTGTGGGCTCCAAGTCTTTTAACCCATCCATGAAATCTAAAACACCAGTCATTCATTTTTAGTCCAAGTTGTTTCCTTGGAGGAAACTTGGCATATATAGTTTTTCTTTTGTTGCTTTCTGCTACATAGCTCTGTGTTTTTCTGGAAGAAAAACTTAAGGGATAATACTTCCCTCCTTATCACTATCACGTAAGTAGGAACATTCTTGCCAACAGCAGTATAATATATGTGCATAAGTTTTTCTTTTTATGTTTTTAATGAATATGTGTCGAACTGTGATTCCCAGGACGGAAAAATATCCCTTTACAAGGAAGGAGGCAAGCAATATCCAAAACTTAAACTTGATCACATCAGCAATTGTATAGCAAAAATACTTTAGGGTGAGAATAGACAATTATGAATTATATACTAAGGAACAGCCAGGCCCTACTGATAAGGTTTAGCATCTTGAATATGCAAGTGGCCTGGCTGTTTGATTGAATGATTTCAGAAAGAAAAAAAAAACAGCTATACAACCATACAGACTCAGAATTCTTTCTGCATCCAAAATATTTAGAACATACATCTCAGAAAAATTACAAGTAACATCAAATTTTGCTTGTTTACTTGACAGGCACTCAGTCGAATGGATCAATAACATATTTATTTATAATTTTAACAAATCAGGCCACAAAGCCAAGTTTCTTGGCAACTACTTTGGCCAATGCAACAGCTGCAACAACCTTGCCCAATAAAACCAGTTTCTTATCCTGATCAATTGTAGAGCCCAATGGCAACTCTGAGCCAGAAGAAGTCTTCATCTTCTTATGTGCATGCATATATTGGCCACAATACAGAACCTTAAAAAACTCATCCACAGCCCTCTCCCACCAGATCCGAGAGGCAGAAATTCCTTCAAAGAAAGCTAAGTGACTCCCATGCTTTGTGGTGGCCAAAACAACATCATATTTTCTCTACATTCATCCCAAGGAATGGCTTCTCTGGTGCAGATTGGATCATCCAGGGCACTGATACAAAGCAGAGGCGTACACACATTGCACACATAAATGGAGCTGCTTGTGCGCCTATAAAACGTGTCCACAGTCTCAAACTCGCCCACATCACAGGTAGCATGGTAATGCCGAATGCAACGCATCTTGCCATCCCAATTCGCAAGCCGGGAATAGCAATGCTGGTGTAGCTGTGAGTACCATTCAAGGCCAAGTGTTAGAGCTTTGTCATAAAAATTCTGCAGCACAGTACGTACGGCGAATGAATCTGTCACCAATGAGAAAGTCCCAAGGATTGGAAATGGCTGCAGCACCAGAAACTGGGGCATTGTCTCCCTCTTCTCCAAGATACTTGACCAAGATGTTGGCACCTAACACATACTCAATGTCAGCAGAAACATCTACGAAAAACATCGATATCGAGATAAGTTATATGGAAATTTCGAGCGAAATGTACTACTCTAGAAGAAAATTGATTGTAATCACCTATGCTCGTTCCAATGAGAAACAATGGAGCCTTGGGATGCTTATGGTGGAGGCGATTGCAGACTTCACGAATATCGTTGGTCCATCCACAATTGTAAACCAAGTCTGAAGTAATTGGAACACCACCAAGTCCTCTGTGGTTGCTGATCACTACATTCCATCCCATTTTGGCCGTGTTGAAAGCAAGATGTCTTATGTAAGAAGATTGAGAATCACTGGTCAGTCCAGGAAGCACTACTACAATAGGGGTTGTGTCATCTTTAGGCAACACATAAGAACTCACTGCCCAATCCAGTGCAATAGTACCACCATCCGACAGACGAAATAGTTCTCTTTGGTAAGTGGCAGCTGGAGGGTTGCCAAAGAAATTGAGGAAAAAGTTCTGCAAATGAGGGCTCGTGAGCCACGGTGTGGCCAAGTACCGGCCATGGAGAACATGACACCTGGAAACCACGCTGCGGTGTGGGAGTCGGAGTTGTATGTCAAGCCGACAGGGTAGCCTCTGAATCCATTGAAAATGCCTTGGAGGAAATGGAAGTCGAAGTAGATGTGGAGGAACACAAAGGAAGTGATGAGAAAGCCTAACAAGTAATGCCAAATGGGTATGAGAGTTGCAGCCTCGACCAAAAGCTCATAGGAGTTGGCAGAAGTTTCATGGAGGCCACTAAACCTTAAGCAATCCATGTCTTTGTGGGGAGGAAAATTGGATTGAATTGAATGGCTCTGATCTCCAGTTTCTTGTGTGGTTTATGAAATAATATAGAGGCTCAAAATAATTGAGATTGGAAGCATTAAAAACGTAGTTGTTGAAAACTAATGCTTTGGGACTAAGGCCTTAGGCATTCTACATAATTGAGATTGGAAGCATTGATGAGGACTATAATTAATATATATTAATCTAATTAAAACCACTTTGATAGCATAGAAGATGAACGACTCAACCAAAAAGAGAAGATGAAACACATATGCCTGAACTGATTAAAACCACGCAATTCCATGAATTTATCCGAGCAATGCTTTATAACGCAATTCCATGAATTTATTAGAGCAAAAGCTTACTTACCAACCCTTATTGAGAAAAATAAGAAAGAAAACTTAGGGCCTGTTTGATATCCCAGTCTTTATGAAACCAAAGAGTAAATCTTTCATTATCAATAATGAAGCTTGTGAAGCTGTAGACAGAAGTAAGTGATGAAAAATATCCACCGGGATTGAAGAATCATGTTCATTTACATAGAATGCTTATTCAGCAAAAGTGTTACACAAGTTTGAGGCCTGAAAACATCAATATGCTCTACAAACCAGCTACATCCAACTCCTCCCACAAGAACTAAAAAACATGGCAAGAGACCATGACAGAAACTTGTGTACCAAAAAACTAATGTAAAGTTACATATATGTCGGCCACCCAAAATTGTCTGTACAATATGCCAAGCAACCAGGATGCTATTCCCACAACCCTTTCGACAATTTCTGAATGCTGTTCTACCAATGGTTTACATTCAGTTGATACCATCATTGTAGGGAGTCACGTTCCTCATCTTGGTCCGATCCAGCACATGAATTCGTCGGCACTGCATGCAAATGGTGTTGAGGAACTTCCAATTCTGTTTGAGAATCCTGATTCTCAAAATATGGAAAATTGGTTTCCAGGTGAGGATTGCAAATTGCAAAATTGCCTTCATCTTCACCATCATTTTCACTGTTATATGTTTCAAGATAAGCATCTCCTTCCTTCAAAAGGAGAACAAAAGGATTAAGATGTTAGAACAACTGGTTTAACTAACAAAAAGAGTAAACTTAGAAGATCAAGTAAATACAAACCTCAGAATCCTCATCGTCAGTAGGGTAAGAAGAATCTAATTTGTTGTACAATGCTTCATCTCCTTGATCTTTCACACTATCCATTTGTTCCTATCAATGTGAAACACGAGCCACTTAGAATGAAAAGGGAAAAGGTGGGTGGTATATATACTTCTCCTGCCATTTAAAATAGTTAGACTTGAAATAGCAATAACTAAAATGTATAAAGGGGCATACTATTTCGCATCTAAGTGTGTCCACTTTACTCTGCACAGCTGAAATATGTTTTAGAAGAGCCTGTTCAACAAAGAGAAAAATAAGTCAGCACCATTATTGTTCACAAAAACATATCAAGCAATAAATAATAAAGCCTCCTCCATGTAGGGGCAAATCACTCCGGGCACATGGGTCATAATATCTTATGAAACCAGGAGCTATTAGCATTCAAATTTTTAGTGATACCTCCTGTCTTTGAAGTTCAATAGAGCGTGCCAAAGCTTTCCTTTTTGTCAAAAGATTCTTTGGCCTCAATGTAGAAGGTCGGTGATAGTCCTTTCCTCGGTACACAATTATAGCAAATTTTTTGGAGACTTTGTCTACTGAAACCAAGACACCTCCACTCTCTGCTTCAAGTGCTAATGCAATATTTTTGACCTGTTCAAAAGTTTTAGCATTCACCATTATCTTGACCAACTCCCGGTACTTCCAGTGCAAATGCATGTTCTCCACTGTACCATCAAATACTCCACGTCTACCTGAAGAAATCAAGTTTCGATAAGTAAACCATAATAAAATCACAGCATGATAAATTAGTATATGGAGAATTGTTATACCAAGAAGTAAGAAAGCTTTCATCCTTAACCCAAGCTTACGAAACATAAACCTCTCCTCATCAGTAATGCTTTCTGGGTCTGCTTGCTGCTTGGATGGTTTCAAAGATTCCTCTACCTTAGATAAGGCTTGTTCAGCTCTCATTAGCTTTCGTTCAGCCTAACAGACAAAATTCAAAAGTTCAAAGGAAGCGAAATTCTAGCACTGGAACAGCGTGATATAAAATAGCATATTAAGTATTCAAAGGGACTTATGACAGAAAGACTTTTTGTTAGACTACAAGATGTTTCTTATACTAAATCCAATGAGAATTTTGCAAGACAATCCCAAGTTTCTGTACTTACAAAGGAAAGCTTTCGTTCAAGCTTTCTGACCAGATGGGCATGCCTTAATATGTCTGCTTCTCGCATAACTTTTTCTTTATCCAACCTCTTTCCCCACTTAGCATCTGCATCCAAAGTCTCTCCAAGTGTACCAGCGGTACCAAAGTGTTGTGCTGCTTCAACATTTGGTATGATCATGGCTGAAGCTCTCAACCTTGCCTGTTCCTCTTCATCTTGAAGGGATTTTGCCAATCTCTCCCTTTCCAGTAACGCTTCAGTGACATCTGGTGACAAAAAATTCTTCCCCCTATAGAAGACCAAGAAGTCCTTGTTTCGAGATAGCATGACACCCCCTGTCAATCTCTGCAGCAAATAAATAACATTTAATTGTATAAATATGAATCAAGAATACACATTAGCTAATATGAAGAGATGTAAATATATGAGTGATGAAGTGATTTATTACCAATTATTTACAAATGAATATATGGAGTGATATACTAGCCTTTAATATTCAATGTTAACAAACCATGCATGTTATAAGTAGCAATTGGAAAAAACTAACCAGAAGGCCCAGAACCTCTAATCTTATCGTAAAGGAATAACCTTATCTACAGAGATGCCATTCCGATGCCAAAACATCTAGATATACACTCCAGACAAAAGGATGAACACAGAAGCAAAATAATTTAGGAAAACAAAGAAAACTACTTTCTCTGGCACACCTGTAAAGCATTTCTGAAAGTAACAGCACACAGAATTATAATTTTATGTTTAAGAGTTGATGTGGTTAATTCCCACAAAATAGGCAATGAAGAAAGCATTGACTATATAACAGTCAGAATGATATTATGGAAGGATGAACAAGACAGACATTGCATTGCACTCGGTAAGCCCTTAGACAAAAATAAATTTATTTCTCAGTTTCCTTAAAGGATGCACTCCCTTTCTGATGTAAAACTTCTCTCAGTGAGTCAACTTACTTTCATACTACTAACTAATAATCTCTAGCAAAAGAGTTGGACCTGGCTAATCTTGTCTTTTTCTTTATCTCTCTCTTAATAAGTAGCCAATTGGCCAACACTACGAATGTAATCTGCCAAGAATATCATATTCCAGTTCCCAGTTGCCTACTAAAATATTCACATGATAGATACTGATAGCTGGACTCAATAACTAACTATATGAGGTACTATTCACCCATTGATTTAGAAACTCAGCACACCAATTTTGAGTTTAGTAGTTGAATGCAACATAAGTATGTGGCAAGGTGCACCTTGACAATAATTAGGTAGGAGTAAGTCATAAATCGAACGGAGTCCCATTACCTTTATGTCTTCAGCCATTCTCTCACTAGTAGTCAGCTGAACACCACGTTTCAGTGCAATCTTTGCAATCAAACTTTTTTCCCATAATTTAGCCATGGCCACTGCTAGACCCTGGAGCTGTCTGCTTCGGCCTACAGACAAAATGTATACAATAATCAAATAAGCATCTTGTCAATTATGTGCAACACATGAAAATGCATACCTAAAGCAAAATGTGGTGGAAGAACCCTAGCCAGCCTTCTTAAAGATGTTGCCTCCTTTAAACCAAGGGTAGATCGCACTCCATAAGGAAGTACTCTGAAGGGAGGCTGGTAACCAGGAACTATCCCCGGGAGCATATCTGCATCTACAGGTAATGGATCGCATCCTGGCCAATCTTTGAATCTAGGGCCTAAACTATCTAAAAGTTTGTCTACTTCATCTTCATACTTCACTTCTGCCAATTGTTCTGTGTCTTCCTTCTCCTGGGAAGTATTCTCTGACTTTTCTTGGGGTGTTTTTACATTACTATAAGAAGCAAGCTCAGAAAAGTCCCCCACAGATTTATCAGCAACAGTTGGTAAAGGTGCGGAAGAAGTGTCATTTTTCTTGTATATCTGCTTGTTTAGTTTTACTGAAGGAACCTCATAGCTCACGCCTCTGTACAAAGAAAGGGATGTGCCAGACCTCCAAATCACCAAACCACCAGTTTTTCGCTGATCATAACAACAGAAAACAAAATTAAATTAAAAACAAATTGGATAGGAACACCCAAGAAATTCTCAAATATGCTATTCTAAAAACTTTTACTTTTTTCTTTCTTTATTTTTTCTTAATGAAAGATTTCATTACAGAAAATAAATACCAAGTGAAAAGGAAAAAAGGAAAGCTTTTAATTCAGATCATTTCAAGCCTACAAAAGCTGTTTGTCAAACAATTTGGACAAGAGTCTCTACCTTCAACATCCACCAACTAAGGGACAAATAAATGTTTAGATATTTGTGTTCAGTTCCACTGACCAATCAACATAGTTCAACAGCGAAGAAAATTCCTTGAGCTTCAAATTCTAGCTCCATTTGCTATTCTGTGGCATATATTTAAGAACCAGAGGCAGCCCTCCATTTTCTACTGGACATGAAATTCTTGCAGAGATGTAAAATACAAGTTTTGTTTTATACTTTCTGTGTTTTATCCCTGTATATCCTTTTGACCAAAAAAAAAATCCCTATATATCCTTTCAATTAATATCTAATCAATAATTACAGCTCAAAATATGATAAAATAAATGTAAATTTGTCTAATATAAAGAACTTAAAACAAAATACATAAACAGAAAGCTGTAACTAAAATCATAAGAAGCAAACCTCTAATATCTCATGCATTCTCTTCATGTTAAGAGCTGGTGGCCCTTCAATTTTCAATCTCACAATCTCTGAAGTCTTCCATCTCTCATGGATCATCTCCACTACGGCTTGAGTAACACCACCACCACCAATCCTAGTCTTGTGCTTCTTCTGAAATGTCAAATTCGTTAACCTCCTCAACTCTGACTCGGGAAGCGTCAATTCTGCCAATGAAGTCCTACTCTTCCTCCTCACTGAACCCTCTTCTTGCTTCTCTTCCTCTTTTGGCTTTTCCCATGGAAACCTCACCTTACCATCACCTCCAAACACATTCTCTATCCCTAATGGTGATTCCTCCGAGAACCCACCTCTTGAATTTGGCAACATTCCTTCCTCAACATAAAATATATCCTCCACAGAACCTTTCTCCATCACTCTGTCTCTCACCTCCCCTTTATTCTCATTACTATCATCAACGTACCCAAATTTCTTCAATTTCTCAACAATCTTCTCCATTGTACTGCCACTACTATTTCTACCCCCACCGCTATCACCCTCAGCATATCCTGAACCACTAAAATTCCCATTTTCACTACTCTGATAGTCCAACACAGCCCGGGGTGGCTTTGGGCAATTATGTTTGTGGGATTCATTCCATTTATCAATCCAACTACTGCTAGAAAAATTCTTCTTGGGTTTATATTGAGAAATGGGTTGATTTTTCCTAACAAAATTTGATTTCCTTAGTGGGTTTTGCTCAGGGTTTAAGGTAGAGCTGATAGTGTAGTGGGTGGCATAGAAAGTGTGCTTTTTGAAAGGAATGGAGGAACCGCACCTGAATAAATGGATGTGGGGGCCATGGAACTTTGAGAAGGAGCTCTGGAATGAGTCGAATAAGCTCGTTGGGTAAAGTTGACGACTGGGCACAAGAGTCATCACGGAATAAAGAGACAGAGGTGCATCAATTTAGTGAAAATGTCGAAACTAAACAAACCCAATTGATCAATGAAACTGTGAGATTGTCGAGGGTTTTGTGAGGTTTTTGGGGGTTCAACCGGTAGACTAACGAACAGCGTAACTTCTTCTTCTTCCTTTATTTTGTGGCTATGTTGCTGACTTCTTATTATCCAAGGCGGGGGAGTAAATATCTAAAACGCTGTTTGGCAGCACTTGTACCCCTTTGTTTTTTTGAAAAACGAAAAGAAAACGGATTTTCCATTTTAAGGTTTTTGATGAAAATCTTCTTTAATTTGCCCCCGAATTACATTTTGGTCATCTAACTAAATCATTCAATCAAATTGTACTCCAAATCTTAATTGGTAGGTTCAAATATGAGATTGGGTGTTTGAGGCTTGCAATTGAAGGTTTAAATATGAGATTGGATGTTTAAATATGTTATTACAAATCAAAGATTTACGTAAAAGGCTTGCAATTCACGTGGCTAAGAATTTACTCAAGCACTTGAGATCCTTCATCAAAGAGGAGGAGACCTAGAATTCTTATAGCAAATTATCACTATGAAAACGTGATTGCTAGCAATATACAAAAAGAATGTAACTGTTAGTGATACACGAGAATAACGTTAGTGACAATGATACACAAAAAGAACGATACTGTAGTGATATATGAAAATAACGTTTTGCAGTAACACATGGAAAAAAACACGGACTTTTAAACCACAAAATGCTTGATTTTCGTTTCCATTTTCAAAGCTATGCCTCCCTTTTCAACAAATAGAGTGTAAAATTTATTTAAAAATTTCAGATCAACCATATAATAATAAAAAATTCCACAAACAAATTTCATCAACAATTTTACCAAATATGATTAAACTTGCCGTGGTTCAGTTCTTCTTCTCCTTCTTTTTTAATAAATGTTTTATTTATTAAAGTGTTGACTCAAGATGTATTGGAAAACAAGAAAACCAATATCAACTGTGTTAAGGAAAAAAACAAGAAAAACGAAATAGGATGAATAGGTGGCAACCGATTAAATTGGTCTTATCCGATATAGGGGTTACGATGACCAACTTGCCAAACATCCCCTAGCAGCCCATTATATAACAAAGCACCTTGAAAGAGCAAAACTGCACACACTGCGCTGCGTGGTCTCTCACTCATTCAAAACTCCGTGAAAAGCCTTCCATTTCTTCTTACCCATCAATTTCGTCCCCCCTGTGGATCTCTTTCAGATCCCCTGTAAGTTCTCTATCGGGTTTTCTTCTCAAATCGTAACCAGGTTTTTACTCTTAAGCCATCTTTGTTGATCTTTCGCAAATTTCAATATCCTCAGATTTGTTTTTTTTTTTTGTCTCATGGCCTTTGAATTTTACTTCTTTAAGATTAAATTCATGTGCGTTCAAGTATTTGTGAGCTCTCTGTATCTGGGTTTTTGAGCAAAATGACTTTATTGATAAAGCTTTGATTTGCAATGTATATTAATGAAGTCATAAGAACTTATCTGCATGTACTTGGTTAATGCATTTATGTTTGCTCTACCGATATCAGATATGTGAAATGATAAATTTTCATTCTCTGTTTTCAATTTTCTGGGGCCTTTGTTTTCTCTTTATGCGTTTCCTAGGAAGCTGGTAGATTGATTCTGAAACCTTTGTTTATAACCTTGTTTTTTTTGGCCAGTTTTTGAAGATCTGAGCATGTTTTATGAAGTGGAACTGTTCAGAAAAGTGGCTGTCCTTGCCGAAAATCTAGACAAGGACAAACTTGTTTCTTCGAGGTTCATTGTAACACGGCTTTTGGAGGGTTTGTTAAGCGAGAAGGAAGACGAGGTTCACGGATACTTTCTTGCAGTCACTGGCTTAAAGAGGATAGGCAAAGGAGAAGTTGTACACAACTCAGGAGATGTGTTCTTCCCTGTAGTTTTCAATTGTCGCATGTTCCTGCCTAGCAAGGGAGAGATCTTGGAAGGAGTCGTTTGTCACGTATACAGATTTGGGGTTTTCTTGAGATGTGGACCTGTGAAATATGTTTTTATTTCTGCTCAAAAAATGCCAAATTACCGCTATGTTGTTGGGGAAAAACCCGTCTTCTTGCATGATGACCTTGCAAGGATAGAGAAGGATGTTGTGGTTCGCTTCAAGGTGCTTGGAGTCAGATGGGTAGAGAAGAGGGGAGATATGAGAAAGGTGATGGTTGCCAGTTTACAGGGTGATATGCTTGGCCCCGTTGCTGGTCCTGATGGACTGGATTTGTAAAGATTCAAACTATATGAAGGTTGCTTTGTAAAATCGTGATTACCTGATAGGAGGACTAGTTCAGTTTTACCCTTTAAGATGCTTATGGGCAATAGATCTTAATTTTCATTGTGATATGGACATGAGCAGCAAAATGTATTCCCAAACTGGTGCTACAATGCTAAATTGGTTTAACTGCATTTATAGTGGTAAAAAAACCTGGACAATTTGATTGGGAAGAGGCATTTTGAGTGTTTTAGTTACAAAAACATGTTTGCTACTAGTTATGCTCAGCTTTGACATTGGAAAACTGACTGAAGAGAATTATTTTATGTAAATAATGAATTGACCCTCTATACTTAACTCATTAACAATAATACTTTTAAATTGACCCTTCAAATGACATTTACACCACTCAAGGAGTCAAATGTATTACTCAGTGGGAATAATAACTTAACAAATGTGTCCATGAATTAGAATGTATAATTGTTCTTTTCATTTTGAGGAAATATTTGTTATATTTGTCAGACATAACATTTTTAATGTATTTTTGGCTCCAAAATATGAAAAGCGCATGCTAGTTATCCACGTGGCTTTCAGCAAATGAAACAGGTGGCGGCAATTGTAGCTTAAGGCATGACATATAATGCATATCAAAATTTCTCTCTCACGCAGTCAAGCTCTGCTCGGCCGAGGACCAGAGACATTTTGCTCACAGTGAAGGCTTGAGTGATGTGATTTTGTGGTTTGGTAAAATGGTTGTGTGTGGTTTGAAGAACATGTGAATAGATCGAACAGCTTTTTGTGGTTTCAGGAGCTCTTTGCCTTAGACATGGAGATAGAAAGATAACGAGGGAATGGGAAAATAGGGATTATGGTTTAGACTCATACTGTGTTTGTTTTGTCGCTTTTGTCTTGTATGTCTTTCAAGAATGTTGTTTATAGTGTTTTCTATCAGTTAACACGAAGAAAAAAAATTAAAAAAAGGAACCTAGTATCAGTCAGCTGCTGCTTCTCTTTGTTTCACTGGGGGCAGTTAGTTCTTGCTATTGTGTATCAGCGTATGAGTTCTACTCACCTGCCAGAAGGAATGGAATTTGGTTTTCCGCAACAACTAAATCACAACTAGGGATTGCTGGGTGTGGCAGTGTTTTTAAACCACGAAACACTCGATTTTCATTTCCATTCAGAGCCAAGCCTCTCTTTCTAATAGAGGGGAGTGTGAAAGAATAATTTTTTTTCTTGTGTACCACAAGAACTAAAAAACATGGCAAGAGATCATGACAGAAACTTGTGTACCAAAAAACTAATGTAAAGTTACATATACGTCGGCCTCCCAAAATTGTCTGTACAATATGCCAAGCAACCAGGATGCTATTCCCACAACCCTTTTCGACAATTTCTGAATGCTGTTCGACCAATGGTTTACATTCAGTTGATACCATCATTGTAGGGAGTCATGTTCCTCATCTTGGTCCGATCCAGCACATGAATTCGTTGGCACTGCATGCAAATGGTGTTGAGGAACTTCCAGTTCTGTTTGAGAATCCTGATTCTCGAAATATGGAAAATTGGTTTCCAGGTGAGGATTGCAAATTGAGTAATTGCCTTCATCTTCACCATCATTTTCTCTGTTATATGTTTCAAGATAAGCATCTCCTTCCTTCAAAAGGAGAACAAAAGCATTAAGATGTTAGAACAACTGGTTTAACTAACAAAAAGAGTAAAATTAGAAGATCAAGTAAATACAAACCTCAGAATCCTCATCGTCAGTAGGATAAGAAGAATCTAATTTGTTGTACAATGCTTCATCTCCTTGATCTTTCACACTATCCATTTGTTCCTATCAATGTGAAACACGAGCCACTTAGAATGAAAAGGGAAAAGGTGGGTGGTATATATACTTCTCCTGCCATTTAAAATAGTTAGACTTGAAATAGCAATAACTAAAATGTATAAAGGGGCATACTATTTCGCATCTAAGTGTGTCCACTTTACTCTGCACAGCTGAAATATGTTTTAGAAGAGCCTGTTCAACAAAGAGAAAAATAAGTCAGCACCATTATTGTTCACAAAAACATATCAAGCAATAAATAATAAGCCTCCTCCATGTAGGGGCAAATCACTCCGGGCACATGGGTCATAATATCTTATGAAACCAGGAGCTATTAGCATTCAAATTTTTAGTGATACCTCCTGTCTTTGAAGTTCAATAGAGCGTGCCAAAGCTTTCCTTTTTGTCAAAAGATTCTTTGGCCTCAATGTAGAAGGTCGGTGATAGTCCTTTCCTCGGTACACAATTATAGCAAATTTTTTGGAGACTTTGTCTACTGAAACCAAGACACCTCCACTCTCTGCTTCAAGTGCTAATGCAATATTTTTGACCTGTTCAAAAGTTTTAGCATTCACCATTATCTTGACCAACTCCCGGTACTTCCAGTGCAAATGCATGTTCTCCACTGTACCATCAAATACTCCACGTCTACCTGAAGAAATCAAGTTTCGATAAGTAAACCATAATAAAATCACAGCATGATAAATTAGTATATGGAGAATTGTTATACCAAGAAGTAAGAAAGCTTTCATCCTTAACCCAAGCTTACGAAACATAAACCTCTCCTCATCAGTAATGCTTTCTGGGTCTGCTTGCTGCTTGGATGGTTTCAAAGATTCCTCTACCTTAGATAAGGCTTGTTCAGCTCTCATTAGCTTTCGTTCAGCCTAACAGACAAAATTCAAAAGTTCAAAGGAAGCGAAATTCTAGCACTGGAACAGCGTGATATAAAATAGCATATTAAGTATTCAAAGGGACTTATGACAGAAAGACTTTTTGTTAGACTACAAGATGTTTCTTATACTAAATCCAATGAGAATTTTGCAAGACAATCCCAAGTTTCTGTACTTACAAAGGAAAGCTTTCGTTCAAGCTTTCTGACCAGATGGGCATGCCTTAATATGTCTGCTTCTCGCATAACTTTTTCTTTATCCAACCTCTTTCCCCACTTAGCATCTGCATCCAAAGTCTCTCCAAGTGTACCAGCGGTACCAAAGTGTTGTGCTGCTTCAACATTTGGTATGATCATGGCTGAAGCTCTCAACCTTGCCTGTTCCTCTTCATCTTGAAGGGATTTTGCCAATCTCTCCCTTTCCAGTAACGCTTCAGTGACATCTGGTGACAAAAAATTCTTCCCCCTATAGAAGACCAAGAAGTCCTTGTTTCGAGATAGCATGACACCCCCCTGTCAATCTCTGCAGCAAATAAATAACATTTAATTGTATAAATATGAATCAAGAATACACATTAGCTAATATGAAGAGATGTAAATATATGAGTGATGAAGTGATTTATTACCAATTATTTACAAATGAATATATGGAGTGATATACTAGCCTTTAATATTCAATGTTAACAAACCATGCATGTTATAAGTAGCAATTGGAAAAAACTAACCAGAAGGCCCAGAACCTCTAATCTTATCGTAAAGGAATAACCTTATCTACAGAGATGCCATTCCGATGCCAAAACATCTAGATATACACTCCAGACAAAAGGATGAACACAGAAGCAAAATAATTTAGGAAAACAAAGAAAACTACTTTCTCTGGCACACCTGTAAAGCATTTCTGAAAGTAACAGCACACAGAATTATAATTTTATGTTTAAGAGTTGATGTGGTTAATTCCCACAAAATAGGCAATGAAGAAAGCATTGACTATATAACAGTCAGAATGATATTATGGAAGGATGAACAAGACAGACATTGCATTGCACTCGGTAAGCCCTTAGACAAAAATAAATTTATTTCTCAGTTTCCTTAAAGGATGCACTCCCTTTCTGATGTAAAACTTCTCTCAGTGAGTCAACTTACTTTCATACTACTAACTAATAATCTCTAGCAAAAGAGTTGGACCTGGCTAATCTTGTCTTTTTCTTTATCTCTCTCTTAATAAGTAGCCAATTGGCCAACACTACGAATGTAATCTGCCAAGAATATCATATTCCAGTTCCCAGTTGCCTACTAAAATATTCACATGATAGATACTGATAGCTGGACTCAATAACTAACTATATGAGGTACTATTCACCCATTGATTTAGAAACTCAGCACACCAATTTTGAGTTTAGTAGTTGAATGCAACATAAGTATGTGGCAAGGTGCACCTTGACAATAATTAGGTAGGAGTAAGTCATAAATCGAACGGAGTCCCATTACCTTTATGTCTTCAGCCATTCTCTCACTAGTAGTCAGCTGAACACCACGTTTCAGTGCAATCTTTGCAATCAAACTTTTTTCCCATAATTTAGCCATGGCCACTGCTAGACCCTGGAGCTGTCTGCTTCGGCCTACAGACAAAATGTATACAATAATCAAATAAGCATCTTGTCAATTATGTGCAACACATGAAAATGCATACCTAAAGCAAAATGTGGTGGAAGAACCCTAGCCAGCCTTCTTAAAGATGTTGCCTCCTTTAAACCAAGGGTAGATCGCACTCCATAAGGAAGTACTCTGAAGGGAGGCTGGTAACCAGGAACTATCCCCGGGAGCATATCTGCATCTACAGGTAATGGATCGCATCCTGGCCAATCTTTGAATCTAGGGCCTAAACTATCTAAAAGTTTGTCTACTTCATCTTCATACTTCACTTCTGCCAATTGTTCTGTGTCTTCCTTCTCCTGGGAAGTATTCTCTGACTTTTCTTGGGGTGTTTTTACATTACTATAAGAAGCAAGCTCAGAAAAGTCCCCCACAGATTTATCAGCAACAGTTGGTAAAGGTGCGGAAGAAGTGTCATTTTTCTTGTATATCTGCTTGTTTAGTTTTACTGAAGGAACCTCATAGCTCACGCCTCTGTACAAAGAAAGGGATGTGCCAGACCTCCAAATCACCAAACCACCAGTTTTTTCGCTGATCATAACAACAGAAAACAAAATTAAATTAAAACAAATTGGATAGGAACACCCAAGAAATTCTCAAATATGCTATTCTAAAAACTTTTACTTTTTTCTTTCTTTATTTTTTCTTAATGAAAGATTTCATTACAGAAAATAAATACCAAGTGAAAAGGAAAAAAGGAAAGCTTTTAATTCAGATCATTTCAAGCCTACAAAAGCTGTTTGTCAAACAATTTGGACAAGAGTCTCTACCTTCAACATCCACCAACTAAGGGACAAATAAATGTTTAGATATTTGTGTTCAGTTCCACTGACCAATCAACATAGTTCAACAGCGAAGAAAATTCCTTGAGCTTCAAATTCTAGCTCCATTTGCTATTCTGTGGCATATATTTAAGAACCAGAGGCAGCCCTCCATTTTCTACTGGACATGAAATTCTTGCAGAGATGTAAAATACAAGTTTTGTTTTATACTTTCTGTGTTTTATCCCTGTATATCCTTTTGACCAAAAAAAAATCCCTATATATCCTTTCAATTAATATCTAATCAATAATTACAGCTCAAAATATGATAAAATAAATGTAAATTTGTCTAATATAAAGAACTTAAAACAAAATACATAAACAGAAAGCTGTAACTAAAATCATAAGAAGCAAACCTCTAATATCTCATGCATTCTCTTCATGTTAAGAGCTGGTGGCCCTTCAATTTTCAATCTCACAATCTCTGAAGTCTTCCATCTCTCATGGATCATCTCCACTACGGCTTGAGTAACACCACCACCACCAATCCTAGTCTTGTGCTTCTTCTGAAATGTCAAATTCGTTAACCTCCTCAACTCTGACTCGGGAAGCGTCAATTCTGCCAATGAAGTCCTACTCTTCCTCCTCACTGAACCCTCTTCTTGCTTCTCTTCCTCTTTTGGCTTTTCCCATGGAAACCTCACCTTACCATCACCTCCAAACACATTCTCTATCCCTAATGGTGATTCCTCCGAGAACCCACCTCTTGAATTTGGCAACATTCCTTCCTCAACATAAAATATATCCTCCACAGAACCTTTCTCCATCACTCTGTCTCTCACCTCCCCTTTATTCTCATTACTATCATCAACGTACCCAAATTTCTTCAATTTCTCAACAATCTTCTCCATTGTACTGCCACTACTATTTCTACCCCCACCGCTATCACCCTCAGCATATCCTGAACCACTAAAATTCCCATTTTCACTACTCTGATAGTCCAACACAGCCCGGGGTGGCTTTGGGCAATTATGTTTGTGGGATTCATTCCATTTATCAATCCAACTACTGCTAGAAAAATTCTTCTTGGGTTTATATTGAGAAATGGGTTGATTTTTCCTAACAAAATTTGATTTCCTTAGTGGGTTTTGCTCAGGGTTTAAGGTAGAGCTGATAGTGTAGTGGGTGGCATAGAAAGTGTGCTTTTTGAAAGGAATGGAGGAACCGCACCTGAATAAATGGATGTGGGGGCCATGGAACTTTGAGAAGGAGCTCTGGAATGAGTCGAATAAGCTCGTTGGGTAAAGTTGACGACTGGGCACAAGAGTCATCACGGAATAAAGAGACAGAGGTGCATCAATTTAGTGAAAATGTCGAAACTAAACAAACCCAATTGATCAATGAAACTGTGAGATTGTCGAGGGTTTTGTGAGGTTTTTGGGGGTTCAACCGGTAGACTAACGAACAGCGTAACTTCTTCTTCTTCCTTTATTTTGTGGCTATGTTGCTGACTTCTTATTATCCAAGGCGGGGGAGTAAATATCTAAAACGCTGTTTGGCAGCACTTGTACCCCTTTGTTTTTTTGAAAAACGAAAAGAAAACGGATTTTCCATTTTAAGGTTTTTGATGAAAATCTTCTTTAATTTGCCCCCGAATTACATTTTGGTCATCTAACTAAATCATTCAATCAAATTGTACTCCAAATCTTAATTGGTAGGTTCAAATATGAGATTGGGTGTTTGAGGCTTGCAATTGAAGGTTTAAATATGAGATTGGATGTTTAAATATGTTATTACAAATCAAAGATTTACGTAAAAGGCTTGCAATTCACGTGGCTAAGAATTTACTCAAGCACTTGAGATCCTTCATCAAAGAGGAGGAGACCTAGAATTCTTATAGCAAATTATCACTATGAAAACGTGATTGCTAGCAATATACAAAAAGAATGTAACTGTTAGTGATACACGAGAATAACGTTAGTGACAATGATACACAAAAAGAACGATACTGTAGTGATATATGAAAATAACGTTTTGCAGTAACACATGGAAAAAACACGGACTTTTAAACCACAAAATGCTTGATTTTCGTTTCCATTTTCAAAGCTATGCCTCCCTTTTCAACAAATAGAGTGTAAAATTTATTTAAAAATTTCAGATCAACCATATATAATAAAAAATTCCACAAACAAATTTCATCAACAATTTTACCAAATATGATTAAACTTGCCGTGGTTCAGTTCTTCTTCTCCTTCTTTTTTAATAAATGTTTTATTTATTAAAGTGTTGACTCAGATGTATTGGAAAACAAGAAAACCAATATCAACTGTGTTAAGGAAAAAAACAAGAAAAACGAAATAGGATGAATAGGTGGCAACCGATTAAATTGGTCTTATCCGATATAGGGGTTACGATGACCAACTTGCCAAACATCCCCTAGCAGCCCATATATAACAAAGCACCTTGAAAGAGCAAAAACTGCACACACTGCGCTGCGTGGTCTCTCACTCTTCAAAATCCGTGAAAAGCCTCCATTTCTTCTTACCCATCAATTTCGTCCCCCCTGTGGATCTCTTTCAGAGCCCTGTAAGTTCTCTATCGGGTTTTCTTCTCAAATCGTAACCAGGTTTTTACTCTTAAGCCAGTTGATCTTTCGCAAATTTCAATATCCTCAGATTTGTTTTTTTTGTCTCATGGCCTTTGAATTTACTTCTTTAAGATTAAATCATGTGCGTTCAAGTATTTGTGAGCTCTCGTATCTGGGTTTTTGAGCAAATGACTTTATTGATAAGCTTTGATTTGCAATGTATATTAATGGAGTCATAGGAACTGCTCTGCTGTACTTGGTTATGCATTTTATGTTTGCTCTACCGATATCAGATAGAGAATGATAAATTTTAGGAGAAATGGAGACTGACAGAGAGAAGTTATGGATCTGTATAAGCTAAAGGATTAGTGGCGCAGAGAATTTTGCTTCTACTGTTGAGAAATTGACAATTCTAAGATCCTACTTTTTTTCAGTTACTGTAATAAGATTATAGCTGAGATTTTTAATCAACTGTATATTGATTGAAGGGAATTTACAAGTTATACCAACAACTGAGTGGTGCTCACTTTTTGGCTAGCGTGCTAAGAGAGGGAAAGGATGCATCTCCTAAGAATGGATTAGAGATTTTATAGGTCGATGAGAGAATGTATGCGGCTTTCGTGTTTTTGAATGCATGTATGTATCATGTTTTCCCTCGTTAGCAAGGTCTCTCTGATAATTTGTGTCTGATAGAAAACATGGCCCCAATTTCTGAGGTTGACTTGACACCACCAGCAGGTTCCACTTAGAAGTTCATTAACAGACTGTTCCAGTATTGGAAATTTAATCCTGATTGAATATATACCTAGTTTGTTAGTATCTTATTATGCTGTTGATACTGTGATACATATGATTCTGTATTTATACCATTCGCCAGTCGTGCTGATAGTTAATTAGTCCCCATAGGTCACAGGTTCTATTATTTAGAGAGGTCCTCGTTTTCATCTCTGTTTTTCAATTTTCGGGTGCCTGTTTTTCATTTATGCGTTTCCTAGGAGCTGGTAGATGATTTGAAACCTTGTTTTAACCTTGTTTCTTTTGGCCAGTTTTTGAAGAAGATCTGAAACATGTTTCATGAAGTGGAACTGTCAGGAAGTGGCTGTCCCTTGCTGAAAATCTAGAAAGGGACAACTTGTTCTTCAAGGTTCATTGTAACCGGCTTTTGGAGGGTTTGTTAAGCGAGGAAGGCAGACGAGTTCACGGATATTTCTTGCAGTCACTGGCTTAAAGAGATAGGCAAAGGAGAAGTTGTACACAACTAGGAGATGTGTTCTTCCCTGTAGTTTTCAATTGTCGCATGTTCCTGCCTAGCAAGGGAGATTCTCTTGGAAGGAGTCGTTCATCACGTATACAGACTTGGGGTTTTCTTGAGATGTGGACCTGTTATATGTTTTTCTTTCGCTCGAAAAATGCCAAATTACCCGCTATGTTGTTGGGGAAAACCCCCCCCTTCTTGCATGATGACCTTTGCAAGGATAGAGAAGGATGTTGTGGTTCGCTTTGAGGTGCTTGGAGTCAGATGGATGAGAGGAGATGGAGATATAACAAGGAGTTTATGATGCTTGCCAGTTACAGGTGATATGCTTGGCCCCGTTACTGGTCCTGATGGACTGGATTTGTAAAGATTCAAACTATATGAAGGTTGCTGGTGTAAATTGGAATTACCTGATAGGAAGACTAGTTCAGTTTTACCCTTTAAGATGCTTATGGGCAATAGATCTTAATTTTCTTGTGATGTGGACATGAGCAGCAAATGTATTCCAAACTGTGCTACAATGTAAATTGGTTTTAACTGCATTATAGTGGTAAAAAAACATGGACAATTTGATTGGGAAGAGACATTTTGAGTGTTTTAGTTACAAAAAAAGGTTTGCTACTAGTTTATGCTAGCTTTGGACATTGGAACCTGACTGAAGAGAATTATTAATGTAAATAATGAATTGACCTCTATACTTGCCCATTAACAATAATACTTAACACGTAAAAAGAGCGAAATATATAGGGGAGTATCAATCAAAGTTCTTCTACGCTACTTCACGTATTCAGTACGAACACAAAAAATACCCTATGGTTGCCTGTTATGGTTTATTGAGAAGTATTTTCTATGGTACACCAAAGTGGGAGCAAAGAACCAACCAAATTGACCCTTCAAGGACACTACACCACTCATGCGTCAAATGTATTACTCAATGGGAACTAACCACTTAACAAATGTGTTATTCCTGAATAGAATGTATATTGTTCTTTCTTTTGAGGGACATGTTGGTTTTATGTCAGACAAATAACAATTTTTTATGGTTTTGGCTCCAAAATATGAAAATGCGCATGCTAGTTATCCACGTGGCTTCAGAATGAAACAGGGGGCGGCAATTGTAGCTAAGGCATGACATATAAAGCATATCAAAATTTCTTCCTCACGCAGTCAAGCTCTGCTCGGCTGAGGACCAGAGACATTGGCTCAGTGAGTGACTCGTGCTTCTTCGTCCAGACCAGTCTTGTGGGCTCCCGCGGTTTGGAGCACTCGCCCCCCTGCTCAGCCCCAGCTCCTAAAGCTTCCGTTTCCCCTCTACAAGGTCTGAGGCCCTTCAAAGGTGCGTGCTGTAAGGTTTTGCAAACCCTAATCTTTATCTATCTCTCTATTTATATGTAAAGTATGCGCTTGAATATTTGATTCTTCGAGTAAATGGGGTTCCAATAAATTGATTAATTCGATTTTGTTTTGATTCAGTTAGTGAAATTTGCTTCACGGAATGCTTGAGTTGATGTGATTGTGTGGTTTGGTAAAATGGTGTGTGTGGTTGAAGAACCTGTGGAATAGATCGAACGCTTTTGGTGGTTCCGGACCTCTTACCTTTAAGGGGAGATAGAAAGATCACGAGCTGGGAATGGGAAAATGGGGAATGTTTAGACTCATACCGTGTTTCTTTTGTTGCTGTTTGTTGTTGCTTATCAAGAAGGTTGTATAGGGTGATGACTATCAATACGTTCAGAAACAAAGAAAGAAAATGTTTAATATTGAAAAGAAATATTCTACGTATCGTCAGCGGCTGCTTCACTGGGTGGCGATGGGGCAAGTTAGTCGGCTAATGTGGATCCGGTTGGTTCTATCTCACCTGCAGAAGGAAGGAATTGGTTTCACAACCGAAATCACAACGGGATGCTGGGTGGGGGCAGTGTTTTAAACCACGAAACACTCGATTTTCACGACATTTAGAGCCAAGCCTCTCTTTCTATAGCGGGTGGGAGTAGTGAGAAGAATTTTTGTTCTTTGCGGAGAATAACGTGCAAATATTTTGCCACAACACACGTTTATTAACGTTTACAAATGTGATTAAACGTGCGCTGAGTTTGTTTTGTGTTGGTTAGTTTTCAAGTATTGACTTTAGGATGTCTGTGAAAAAAGAGAAACACGGAAGGAAAGGGAATGTAGTAAGTGTTTAGAGATCTGGTACACACGGCGAGGTCAAGGTTTTCGAACAACCACCTGATAGGGATGGTTAAGAAAAAAAGTAGGAGAATAGGGGTAAATTTTGAATTGGCCTATTTGATAAAGGGTTCTGTATGCGACCAATCGTGCGAAAACTCCAGAAAGCGCGATATATCAAAGCACGGTGCTGCAGGTCTCACTCATACAAAGGGCGTGAAACCTTCCAATGCTGTTCTACCACAATGTTCCACCCGTGGAGACTAAGTAGTTTTGCCTATCGGTTTGTTCTTTAAATCGTACACAAGGTTCTGGCCTAGCCCTCTTTGTAAGTTTGATGCAATATCTCCTTCTTTTTTGGTCTCAGGGCCTTAAATATACCTCTAGAGGTTAAAGTAATGGCCTTTCTTAGTCCAGTATTTAAGCTTCTTATCGTGTTTTGAGCAAAATGACTTTTTTTTTTTTTTTTTTTTTTTTTTTTTTTTTTTTTTTTTTTTTTTTTTTTTTTTTTTTTTTTTTTTTTTTTTTTTTTTTTTTTTTTTTTTTTTTTTTTTTTTTTTTTTTTTTTTTTTTTTTTTTTTTTTTTTTTTTTTTTTTTTTTTTTTTTTTTTTTTTTTTTTTTTTTTTTTTTTTTTTTTTTTTTTTTTTTTTTTTTTTTTTTTTTTTTTTTTTTTTTTTTTTTTTTTTTTTTTTTTTTTTTTTTTTTTTTTTTTTTTTTTTTTTTTTTTTTTTTTTTTTTTTTTTTTTTTTTTTTTTTTTTTTTTTTTTTTTTTTTTTTTTTTTTTTTTTTTTTTTTTTTTTTTTTTTTTTTTTTTTTTTTTTTTTTTTTTTTTTTTTTTTTTCCCCCCAAATATTGAAGTCTCCCAAACCAAAGCCTGCAAGTCAAATTCAGGCCCCAATTTGACATACAAATCAAGAGCCCACATTTGAATATTGTTGGAAAATAAAAATTAAAGAACCCTAGTGAGAAATATCATACCACAAAGAGCTTGTGGGAAGAGGAATCGTGCGGATATGTGAGAAAGAAGATAAAGGATAATCAATGTAAATTGTTTAAAGTTAACAGGGACATAGTAGGGATTTAAAAAAAATTCATTAAACACTATCAGCTCTCATTCCGCTTTTCGCAAAAGCGGAAATGCAAAGTTGTCCTTGAGCCGATGCTCTAAATGGATGTGACCTACATTGATTTCTCATTAAAAAAAAAAAAAAAAAAAAAATTATCCTTTTCCAAATGGTAAGTTTTTGGTCTTCAAGCAGATGATGTAAAGAAAAGTACGAGTATGTTGAAAAGAATCTTTATTGTCCTAAATTGGATGTAGGCCTTTCAATCTGGGCTGCAACCACTAACCCTCATCCAGAGTCATTCTATAGTGAGGGCTTTATATATGGCCCTTAGGTGTGGTCCTATCTCTTAATCGTTGAATCCGGCTAATCAATTTAATTCAACAGTTAAGAGATATGACCTCACCTAAGGGCCAAACATACGGCCCTCACTATAGAATTCTTGCCCTTAACCAACTCCTATATCAAAACCTATTGGCTAGGCAAAGCCCCCCCAGACTATGCCTTTGGTTCATTGATAAACAAATGTCACGATTCTTCTGGTGGGCGAGAGAGAGTCAACAACAATATAAAAGATCCTTATCTACAATTTTTCCAACTACAAATGTATACTAACTTTTTATTTTTAATGAAATCGCGAGGGAAATTTGATCATGGGATATGTCAAAATAATATTAACCGTTGAATCCGGCTAACCAATGTTATTCAACAGTTAAGAGATATGACCTCACCTAAAGGCCAAACATAAGGCCCTCACTATAGAATTCTTGCCCTCAACCAACTCCTCCTATATCAAAACCTATTGGCCAAGCAAAGCCCCCTCAGACTATTAGGAAAGATGCCTTTGGTTCATTGATAAACAAATGTCACAATTCTTCTGGTGGGCGGGAGAGAGTCAACAACAATATAAAAGATCCTTATCTACAATTTTTCCAACTACAAATGTATACTAACTTTTTATTTTTAATGAAATCGCGAGGGAAATTTGATCATGGGATATGTCAAAATAATATTATTAAGACCTAGTTGGTATTGACTATTTGATGTCAGATATCAAATAAAGTTACGTTGTGTACTCTTATTAAGTACGTGGAATGTACATTGTGACTTTATGCAACCTACCTTGGGTAGTGATTTAGAGCAATTGAGTCATAGCATTTATGTAGTTTGTGTGAACTTAATATTTTATTGCTCCATCTCAACAGAAAAGGTCATTTTTAAAAATTAAAAAAAAAAACTTCCTAACCAAGATCATTATTGCATCCAATATAAATAGTTTTTAACCAACCGATAAGGCACAGTAAAGCTAGATATTGAAATGCACCGTGCTACTTTTACATACTCACTCAAGCACAACTCAGATATTGTAACATACTATGTTTGGCCACTTTTCAAATACATCCACGCTCTTATGATATTAAAACAAACATAATTTACATTGCATCTTGGGTCACAAAGAATCTCATTTTATACTTAACTAAAATAATGTAATATGTAGGATAAACTAATAAACTTCGTATTTTGTTTACATATGTTATAAATTAGGGTTATTGACCGAAATGGTCCCTCAACTATTGCTCTAGCATCATTTTGGTCCACCAACTAAAATTTTCATTTCAATGGTCCTTCAACTCTTCATTTGGTATCAAAACAATCCTACTGTTAAAGTTTGTCAATTTTATTGTTAAATTGAGGGGTAAAAATGTCTCTATGAATTAAAATAGTAATATATAATTAAAAATTAAAAGAAACTATTATAAAACTTAGAAAATTTAAAAAGATTGAATCTCACTAGCCACATGGCTTTTTTTTTCTTTGTGAGATTGACCTAACAATTAATATAAAAAATTCTTTATTGTTTAAATTAATTAAAAAATTAAAATCATATAAATATAAATATAAAATAAATTTTTTTTTTTAAAAGAGTAAACAATAATTAAAAATTAAAGGAAACTATTATAGGAACTTGTACCTAATTTTAAAATTGAAAAAATTGAATCTCACCACCAACATGGTTTTTTTTTTTTTTTTTTTTTTTTTTTTGGACTTAAAAAAATAATAATTTTTTCTCTATTGTTTAAATTAATTAAAAATTTTAAAATAAGATAAATACAAAAATAAATAACAAAAAATTAAAAAAAGTAACCTCAAAACAAACAAACCCAGCATTACCCCCAAAACAAATGAACCCAGCATTACCCAACCCCACCTCTCCAACCCCGCAACCTCCCCTCACCCCCATCTCCAACCTCTCAACCTCCACCCACCGTCACCTTACCACTCTCAGCCGCTCTCACCATGACCCGCACCCTCTCTCTCTCTCTCCCTATTGTTTAAATTAATTAAAAATTTTAAAATAAGATAAATACAAAAATAAATAACAAAAAATTAAAAAAAGTAACCTCAAAACAAACAAACCCAGCATTACCCCCAAAACAAATGAACCCAGCATTACCCAACCCCACCTCTCCAACCCCGCAACCTCCCCTCACCCCCATCTTCAACCTCTCAACCTCCACCCACCGTCACCTTACCACTCCCAGCCGCTCTCACCATGACCCGCACCCTCTCTCTCTCTCCCAAAACCACGATAATTACCACCCAAAAGCTACGAAAATGAAAACCTATGAATGGGGGTGTTTCTCTCTCTCTCTCTCTCTCTCTCTCCCTTCTCTCTGTAAACCAACTCAAATCTGATATGAGGTTGTTTTTGTTGGGTATGGCTTATATTTGAATCGGGTTGGTGTGATTTGCAGGGCTTCTTTGGGCTTGAAGTTGCTACTTTATGCAAGAGATCAAGGGGGTTGGGGAAGAGGGGCTGTGTTGAGGATGGGGGAGGCCGAGATGTGGGTTGTAGTCATTAGAGAAGTTGAGATGGAGGTTGAAGTCGTGAGATGGGGAATGAGTTTGGTAATTGTATATGGATGGTTTTACCCCTCAATTTAACAATAAAATTGACAGACTTTGACGGCAGGACTATCTTGATACCAAATGAAGAGTTGAAGGATGGTTCAAATGAAAATTTTAGTCAGTGGACCAAAATGATACTGGAGAAATAGCTGAATGACCATTTTGATCAATAACCCTATAAATTAAGTTAATTTTTTCAATAATCTCTAATCTAAATTTGGGATAGAAGTACATTTTATTTTATTTGATAGTTTTTTTTTTTTTTTTTTTTTTTTTTTTTTTTCTTAGAAATAAAAAAAAATATAAAAAATATTTCTATAAAAAATAAAATAAAGCCTAGCATGGTAGGCCCGTGTAGACCCAACCGGCCCTTTGAAACCTTGGTCCGGCCCACCCCGTATCCAACTAGAACCCAAAAATTTTGGATCGGGCTGACAAACTGCACCTCAGGATACTTAAAAATGTTTTTGGCACCCACTATATTCTTCTATGGTGTTTGATTAATTTCTTTTTAAAATTATGAGTACTTGTATTTGAACCCATTATTTATCTATTTATTTCCATATTCATAGGATCCAGAGGGCAAAATAGCTCTTGCAACAATTCCCTTTATTTTTTATTTTTGAAAAAAGATTCTCTATCAAATAAAATACGTATGACAAGAGAAAATCTATTTCCATTGACATAATCTAAAAGTTAAATATTGACGAACAAAAAAATCTAAAAATCAAAAAAGTTAAAATGTTGAATTTGATATTTAATGTGAAGCTCCATTAATTTATTAGAAGAACATTTACATAAAAACGTGGCCTATATAGATAAGAAAGGAGCCTCAAATACCGCATCAGCTCCTATTTTAGTGTAAGATATTTTAGTACATACACACATATTATTATGGCCTTGTTCAATGGCATGCTTGCAACGAGAGATTGCCATTACAAGATTACACACATAGAGATAGTACCGACATTGTTGTCCATAAATTGGGCAGTGGGAGGGTTAGCACCAAAACTTATGCAGTAGTAGGAGTTGCCAAATCCCGTAACGTCCTCCTTTGAGATGTTAGCTCTGATTTTAGTGAGGCCTGTGTTGTTCACTGGCGGATTCAAGAATTTTTTAGCGGAGGTGCAATTTTGAAAGGCTAAAAACTCTTTGTGGATTGAACATCTAAAGCTTTTTACCTAGATTGACAGGTCCCTTCATACATTCATATCATACATGAAAAATTGTTATATGTAAAAATATTGACTAAGTATGGAAAATGGTTTTTCGGAATAATAATTTCCTCAAGATAATTTTTGGCGGTTTTTATTTCTTACACATCAAATAAGAAAACTTGATTTTATGGGATTTTATTATGAAGTATATATTGACTTAATGAGCTATCATTTTTAGCCTAAATCGTATTTTGCACTAAAACCGATTTTTCAAATTTTGATTTGGGGGGAATTTGATTTTCTAGTATTTTTATTTGAATCCAAATGGGGGGTACTTCCTTATTTACATTGTAAACTTAAGTAAATGGAGTAATATAAAAATAAATGAAAGTAAAAAGACAAAGACATTTACTTAAATGTTGAAGATGGAAATAAGGTAATCTGTACACCACCACCAGCTGAGCAAAGGGGCAATTTCAAATACCTACAATGGTTTTTCTGGCAAGGGAAGGTGCTGCACCTCCTTGCTCCTTAACAGATCCACCACACCAAATCTTTTGTTGGCAAGTCCCTTCAAGTAGTCAACGTCCTCCTCCAAGATCTTAGCTCTGATTTTAACGAGGCGTAGGTCGTTCTCATCAATTCTTTTGTTGGAGTTGGCAAATCCCTTCAAGTAGTCAAAGTCCTCCACAGAGATCTTAGCTTGAATATTAGCGATACGCAATTCGCCCACATCAAATCTTTTTTTGAAGTTTGAGTTGGAATATCCCCTCAACTGATGATCACCCTTAGCTTCGATTTCAATGCTCCCACCCCGAATTCCAACAAATTTGAGGTTGTTATTTTTAAGATAGGATTTGGGGTTGATTTCTGGCTCGTTTGGGACTGCTTCTCTAGCAAGCATTTCTACTTATAAGCGCTTATATCAAAAGCGCTTTTACTATAAAGACATTGAAATTTTCATAAGAAATCGAAGTGCTTCTTGAAAAAGCACTTGGGAGCTTCCTAAAAAAGCACATGGCAGGTGCTTCTCCAGAAAGCACTTTTATGGCCCAAAAGCGCTTTTAAACTTTTCTGCCAAAAGCTGTCAGAAGCACTTTTGATTGTCAGAAAACACTTTTAACTGTTCTAGAAGCACTCCCAAACGGGCCATCGTCCCAACCCCTAAACCCTAAACAACCTTGGTTGCAGAAGTTGGTTTGATCTTGATTCGACGTCATTGTCTCTCTCACTGATTAGTTTTTAGGTTACGGCGTGTGTTTGCTCTGATGAACAACTCATTGCCTCATGGTTGGTCTCCTTTAATACTTGTTGCTTGCATGGGCAAAAGCTGAAGATATTTTATAACGGCCAATACCCTCAGCACAATACAGATTCTATATTGATTAGATTCTATAGATTTTATCTTCTTGGAATAATATTCGACAGTGACAGACAATACAGGCCTTTCTTGTTAGAGGATCTTTTTAATATCTTTGACAAACACTTGGCAATACATATAATATTCCTCACTCAAGTTACTGATGACTCTATATGTAAAGTCAGCAGGCTTTCACATGTATTTCATGTGTTAGTTGTTAGAAACTGTTAAGAGTTTGTTAGTTTGTTAATAGATTACTTAAGCTTTAAGTAAGCATACTATAACTATGCTAATGTATACTGTAATTCATTCTTAACAAATATGCAAATCAGAATATACTACTTCTGATTTCTCTCTGCCTTCGCTCTATTTTCTCTAACTTCCTTCAATTCTAGTCTCTGTGAAATCTTTGATCTGTCATCAGTTACTACTGAGCGTAGATTGTCAATCCTCAGTAATGGGGTTAGCTAATGGTTAAAAAAGAACATTCAGAAGAAATTTTTTTTTTTTTTGTGTAAGTAAGTTGTTTTTTTTTTTTTTGTTTTCCTTTTTCCAATGGAGAAGGGAAGGGAGCTCTTCTAACGGTGAGAAGAGCAATGCAACTTGGTTGATAGCTTGAAAGATGGATGGTGGGAAGTCGAACTAGTAATTCCTATAACTTCAAGGACAATCCATTCTTCTGATATTGCATGTTTAAAAAAGTTGAAAGCAATATCAATTGAATTCGATAAGGATAATGAAGTTGACATTGCTTTTCAGAGACAGATTCTATATTGATCATAATATTCACATATTAAATTCGAATTCCATATAATGTATAATGAAGTTGATAAATCTTTTGGAAAGGATAGATCCATATCTAATATATTCCTCATTAAAGTTACTACTATAGTTCCCCAATATTGATTAGAATCTTTCCATCATATCAAGAATTCACCACTTATTTCGTGAGTTGTCCTTATCTCGTCCCACCATCCATATAAGGACAACTCACGAAATAAGTGGTGAATTCTTGGTATGATAGAAAGATTCTAATCAGTATTGGGGACCTATAGTAGTAACTTCAATGAGGAATATATTAGATATGAATCTATCCTTTCCGAAAGATTTATCAACTTCATTATACATTACATGGAATTCGAATTTAATATGTGAATATTATGATCAATATAGAATCTGTCTCTGAAAACGCTATGTCAACTTCATTATCCTTATCGAATTCAATTGATATTGCTTTCAACTTTTTTAAACATGCAATATCAGAAGAATGGATTGTCCTTGAAGTTATAGGAATTACTAGTTCGACTTCCCACCATCCATCTTTCAAGCTATCAACCAAGTTGCATTGCTCTTCTCACCGTTAGAAGAGCTCCCTTCCCTTCTCCATTGGTTTGAAAAAAAAAAAAAAAAAAAAAAAAAGTACGTATATAAAATATGGGCAATAAAATGGAAAAAAATTAAATTAAGACGACAATTTATCACATGTGCACGATTAAAATATGAAACTATTGAAACGGACATCTATATAAATACATTTGCGAAAAGATATTTACAAAACTTTGTAAGTCGCTTGCGCGTGATTAAAAAAAAGCCTCTCGCACGCGCGTAAGCGGGTGCAGGAAGGCTAGTAAGATATTATTCCAAGAAGATAAAATGTATAGAATTTGTATTCTTAGGGTATCGGCTGTTATAAAATATCTTCTGCTTTTGTGCATGCAAACAACTATAAAAGGAGACCAACCATGAGGCAATGAGTTGATCATCAAAGCAAACACACACCATAACCAAAAAACTAATTAGTGAGAGAGACAATGACGTCGAATCAAGATCAAACCAACTTCTACAACCAAGGCTATCTTAAGGGTTTAGGGGTGGGGATGATGAAATCAACCCCAAACCCTATCTTAAAAATCCCAACCCCAAATCGATTGGAATTTGGGGTGGGGATGATGAAATCAAAGCTAAGGGCGAACATCAATTGTGATATTCCAACTCCAACTTCAACAACAGATTTGATGTGGGCGAATCGCGCCTGCTAAAATTAAAGCTAAGATCTCTGTGGAGGACTTTGACTACTTGAAGGGATTGCCCCCAACAAAAGAATTGATGTGGACGACCCAGGCCTCGCTAAAATCAAAGGTAAGATCTCGGAGGAGGACGTTGCGGGATTTGCCAACTCCAACTCCAACTCAAGATCTGCTATGGGCAACCCAGGCCATCCTAATGTTGCTGGATTTTTCGACAACAATGTCGGTACTATCTGTGTAATCATGTAAGAATAATGTTACTCTTACCACATTTGTATACCACATTCCTATACCATCTGATGTGGAAGTTGAGGTGGACAACCACATTAATTAAAATTATTTAATATTTTCTTTTCTTTTATGATTTATTCTAGTATTTGTTTTTCTAATTGTCTTAATTAAAATACACTTAATTGAGTTAATTGATGTGGCATATAATATGGACATGCCACATCATGTGATATAAAAATGTGGGTTAAAAATGTGGTAAGTGTAGCATTACTCAACTACTATTTGATACGTGGAACGATTTTGTGTGCTATGAGTCAATGTTTGTAGAATTGGGCCGGGCTTGTATCGTCTCCTCTTTTTCTGGGCTTTGCCTTTAAAAAAAATAAACACTAATAATGAATCCCCCGCATAATAATTTTTAGTGCTGCTATTTCCACCCACCTTATCTTCTAAATTTTAAAAAACAAATTTACTCCTTCATAAAATGACTTTTAAGGACTTATGGAAAATGATTAAAAAAAACAAAACAATTGCCTCAAACTTAAAATTAAAAAAAGTTATAAAAAAAAAATCCAAAGCACAAAGATCAAACGTCAAATCCAAAGCACCCCTCAACCTCTTATTTTATCTCCATCCTAAAAACCTAACCTCAAAAGTTTTGAGCCAAAACGATGGATTCTTCATCAGAAACTCCAGTCATCATGTACTCTTCCCATTTGTAGAAGGCTAGCAAATCCCAATGATCGACATGGCAAAAGTCTTCTCCTCCCACGGAGCAAATCCCAATGTAATAATATGCTCATGTTGAAAATATGTTCTATTAGTTTTGTTTTGGTCGTCAAATCTCTCCAATTAGAGCAAACAATTGCTCTTTTCAGTCAGTAGATTAAATTTAAATGACTTACAAGTTAACAGAAAAGAGAATTTGCTTGAATTAATAATTAAAGGATATTTTAAGAATAATGGTGGGTGGAAAGATAGGATTGTGTTCGTTCAAATTTACATGGTGAGTGGGAAGATAAGGTGGGTGGGAAAATAGGACAGGTGGGTGGAAATAGCACCACTCAAATTTTTTTATGTGGCAAAACGTTAGTGGCAGCCCCTTTGATGCAAGTGTTTCTCTCTCCAATTTGATATACAAATCAAGATCCCACATTTGAATATTGTTGGAAAATAAAAAGTAAAGAACCCAGAGAGAATATCATACCACAAAAATGCGTTCTTAGAAGACTCACCTACTAGACAAAAGAAAAACACAAGAAAATCAAGATTTTTTGTGTCAGATTATTAGTATATAAAAACGTGGCCTATAGATAAGAAAGGAGCCTCAAATACCGCATCAGCTCTTATTTTAGTGCAAGATATTTTAGTACATACACACATAATTATGGCCTTGTTCAATTGCATGCTTGCAACGAGAGATTGCCATTACAAGATTACACACATAGAGATACTACCGACATTGTTGTCCATAAATTGGGCAGTGGGAGGGTTAGCACCGACATTGTTGTCTAAAAATCGGGGCCCGAATCTGTTGGCCGTCCTACCATTATTAGCGAAGCCCGTGTTGTTCACACCAGAACTTTTGTTGGCAAGTCCCTTCAAGTAGTCAGCGTCCTCCTCCGAGATCTTAGCTCTGATTTTAACGAGGCGTGGGTCGTCCTCATCAATTCTTTTGTTGGAGTTGGCAAATCCCTTCAAGTAGTCAAAGTCCTCCACAGAGATCTTAGCTTTGATTTTAGCAAGGCGCGATTCACCCACATCAAATTTATTGTTGAAGTTGGAGATGGGAAATCCCCCCAACTGATGACTGCCCCTAGCTTTGATTTCAATATATTTGGGATTGATTTCATCATCCCCACCCCTAAACCCTAAATAGCCTTGGTTGCAGAAGTTGGGAATTTGATCTTGATTCGACGTCATTTTCTCTCTCACTGATTAGTTTTTAGGTTATGGGGGGTGTTTGCTTTGATGATCAACTCATTGCCTCATGGTTGGTCTCCTTTTATAGTTGTTTGCATGCGCAAATGCAGAAGATATTTTATAACGGCCGATACCCTGAGCGTAATACAGATTCTATATTGATCAGATTCTATACATTTTATCTTATGGGAATAATATTCTACAGTGACAGACAATACAGTCGTAGTGGCCTTTCTTGTTAGAGAATCTTTTTAACTTCTTTCACAAACACTTGCAATACATATATTATTCCTCACTCAAGTTATTGACGACTCTATATGTACAGTCAGGAGGCTTCACATGTATTTCACGTGTTAGTTGTTAGAAACTGTTAAGAGTTTGTTAGTTTGTTAATAGCTTACTTAAGCTTTAAGTAAGCATACTTAGTTTGTTAGTTTGTATACTGTAATTCATTCTTAACAAATATGCAAATCAGAATATACTTCTTCTTCTTTGATTTATCTCTGCCTTCTCTCAACTTTCTCTAGCTTCCTTCAATTCTAGTCCCTGTGAAATCTTTGATCCGCCATCAGTTACTACCATGCGTAGATTGTCAATCCTCAGTAATGGGTTAGCTAATGTATAACATGGAATTCAAGGCTTGTTTTGTAAGTTTTGTTTTTTTCCAATCAATGGAGAAGGAAAGGGAGCTCTTCCAACGATGACAAGAGCAATGCAACTTGGTTGATAGCTTGAAAGATGGATGGTGGGAAGTCTAACGAGTAATTCCTATAACTTCGAGGACAATCCATTCTTGTGATAAGGATAATGAAATTGACATAGCTTTTCAGAGACAGATTCTATATTGATCATAATATTCACATATTAAATTCGAATTCCATATAATGTATAATGAAGCTGATAAATCTTTTGGAAAGGATAGATCCATATCTAATATATTCCTCATTAAAGTTACTACTATAGGTCCCCAATATTGATTAGAATCTTTCTATCGTGTCAAGAATTCACCACTTATTTCGTGAGTTGTCCTTATATAGATGGTGGGAAGGTTAATTAGCTTTGCGAGTAGTTTCAAAATCCTTGTCACACTCCGGACCGGGGATAGAGTAAAAATCTGTGTCCCGTGCCTGATGATAAAGTAAATAACAACTTAAAACCAAAAGATCAACTTTCTTATAGAATAACCAAAAACGTCTATAAAACATGATATACACTTATGCTATAACTTCAGCTCTCGTAACCCTCTAGAGAAAATTTCCCATATTGGAAAACTAACAAACCTTGAAAGGATTTATAAGAAGTTGAACTACTCCTCATTGCCAATTGGTTTTGGGGTGGATGAAGGATTAGACACTTGAAATTCTACAATTGTATGTAAACAAATTCACAGCTTTGTCCAACCATGCAATAATAGATTGTATACTCAACAAATTCAAATAGAGGGAGGACAATTAAATGAAGGGAATCTTTCTAAGTTCGGATTTCTAATATTCACTTCTTCTTCTTTTATCCTCTTGTCATCTCTGTTTTGAGATTTCCAAGGATACAGATTATAATATCAGTGAACCCCTCAATGGAAATCCAATCCTTGTTAATAGAATTCTCTCGCATAACATTTTGCATTTGGCTTAAGGCATCTAACATGGACGTCTCAACACCTGATAACAACTTTACCTTGGAAGATCTTATCTTGAGGCAGTAATTAAGTTCTCTCCACTCTTCTATTGATGGCCTCAATGGAAGGTTACCTCTCCATGAAATATCTTCAAGAACCTCATGTATTTCGACAGCTAACTAATTTAATCCAACGGTTAAGAGATAGGAAGGACCATATATAAAGCCCTCACTATAGAATTCTTGCCCTCAACCAACTACTCCTATATCAAAACCTACTGGCTAGGCAAAGCCCCCTTAGGAAAGATGCCTTTGGTTCATTGATAAACAAATGTCACAATTTCTTTTGGTGGGCGGGAGAGAGTCAACAACGATATAAAAGATCCTCATCTACAATTTTCTAGCTACAAATGTATACTAACTTTTAAATAAAAGTGCGTGAAATTAATATATTATTGCTCCTAGGAAAGGTCCTTTAAATAAATAAATTCCTAACCAAAATCATTATTGCATCCAATATAACAGTTTTTAACCAACCGATAAAGCACAGTAAAGCCAGATATTGAAATCCACCTTGCTACTTTTACATACTCTCAAGCACAACAAGAGATATCGTAACACACTAACATGTTTGGCCACTTTTCAAATACATTGCATCCTGGTCACAAAGAATCTCATATTATACTTAACCAAAATAATGTAATATGTAGGATAAACTAATAAACTTCTTATTTTGTTCACATATGTTATAAATTAGGTTAATTTTTTCAATAATCTCTAATCTTAATTTGGGATAGAAGTCACATTTTGATAAGATGTTTTTATTTTATTTTAAAGACTTAGAAAAAAATATTAAAAAATATTTCTAAAAAAATGAAAATAAAGCCTAGCATGTTAGGCCCATGGTAGTCCTCCCTTGCCAGTTAAGACCGTCTAGGCCCAACCAGCCTTTGAAACCTTGCTCCAGCCCGCCCCGTATCCAACTAGAACCCAAAAATTTCGGATCGGGCTGACGAACTGTACCTCAGGATTCTTAAAAATGTTTTTGGCACCCACTATATTCTTCTATGGTGTTTAATTAATTTCTTTTTAAAATTAGGAGTACTTGTATTTGAACCCATTATTTATCTATTTATTTCCATAATCATAGGATCCAGAGGGCTAAATAGCTCTTGTAAAGCAACAATTCCCTTTATTTTTTATTTTTGAAAAAAGATTCTCTATCAAATAAAATACGTATGACAAGAGAAAATCTATTTCTACTGACATAATCTAAAAGTTAAATATTGACAAACAAAAAAATCTAAAAATCTAAAATGTTAATAGAAAATTAGTTAAATACTCATTCCTAGACATAGTTCTATAAAAAAAACCCTATATCATTCAATGTATATAAACACACCCAAAATAAACCCAAAAATTGACAGCTATCGATTTCTTAAATCCAACAGCAATGTTTGATTACTGTTTTGCCCTTTGGCTTTGTCTATTAATCAACTTAATATTCATCAACCAGCATATCGAACTTTCTTCTTCCTCTTCAACAATGGCGAGGTTCATCGAGCTCTGCTTCTAGCTTTTCTCCTAGTCCAATTCTCTATTGTATTTTCATTGTCTCTTCCACAGCCCTTATCGACTCCATCGTTGCAACCTGCCGCTGATTCACCTTCGCCCAAAACTCCATCGCCAATTTCCTTTCCTCCATCTTTGTCGGATATTCCAGTTAGCGCACCACATCCTTCTTCACCTTCGGCGCCATTGCAATCATCTCCGTCTCAATCTCCATCGGCATACGACAAGTTTCCAATTCCATCTCCAGCGTTGTCGAATCTGAGTAATGTCAACCACAACAACTTCGGATGGAGATAGAGCTAAGAACTCCTCTGGAGGAATAAGCCGTGCAAAGAACGTAGATATTGTACTTGAGATGATCGTTGGATAACATTCGTCGATCTCAGTAAAGAGATGCTGCCATGAGAGAATTTCTTTGAAGAACTACGCATAGTCTCGCATGTGCAAAAGCTCTTGAAGGTTACTGTGAAAATTTTAATTTCTCGTATTTTTTATTGTTAATTTTTGTGTTTGCTTATTGTATGATTGAATTGAGGTTTTGGCGATGGTGATATGGTGATTCAATTTTGGGATGAGTTCTTGGCGTAAATACTTAATTAGTCAATATGAATCATTGATGTATTGCTTTTTCTATTTTAGAATTATATAATAATTGGAATTAGTGAATTAGAATTCATTATGCTTGTTTTTCTCACTGTTGTTGACTTGTTTGGCTTTATTTGTGTATGCTACCTAATGTTTGTGAGCAAATTGCCATCTAAGTTTAGTTTTGTGTAACCTGATTCTGTAGGCTTATGGGGCAAATTTCAGCATCTCTTGATGCATCACATGCCATTTCTTGTCCTTAAAAAAATTGTGATATTTGTTTAAGGCAATTCTCATTTTGTAGCTACCTGATTGCTTCAATGGGTTTGCAAGTCATCTTGAGTTTAGTGTTGGCATTGCTAGATGCATATTCTTTGGTGAAAAAGAAGGTCCTCCACAACCCTGTATTGGTTAGCTCTTTGTAGTTGGAGACTGGGTCAGCGTCTACAAATCCTTGACTTCCTTAGATGAAAATCTTGTGTGTCCATATAGTGCTTGCCATTTAATAGCTTGCTCTTTTCCTTTTCTAATAGCTTACAACAATATTGTCTCTTGCATCAACTTCTGCCTCATCTGGCATAATTGTGTTGTACTTTAGTGACTTAAGCCATTGCAATTTTGGAGAGGAATGCCAAAAATACTAGATGGCAGTTGCATTGGCGTACATGAGCTGGGTAACAATTGCAATTTCTTCTCTAATTATGCTTAGGCTATTGGCAGCATGTTACACCACTTGTTCGCAGTGGCAGATTCACCATGGGGTCAATGGGGTCAGACGACCCCATGGCAGCCCTGGAAATGGCTTGGAGGTTTTTGGTTTCTCTTGGCAGCCATGGGAGACGACCCCATGGAGAAGAAGATGCAAGCTGCTAGGGAGAAGAAATAGGGAGGAAGAAGAAAGAGAGAGAGAGGGGGGGGAGGAAGAAGAAGACAGTGGTTGAGAGGGAGAAGAAAAGAGAGAGAGAGAGAGAGAGAGAGAGAGAGGGAGAAGAAGAAGAAGATGCGCCAACATAAATTTTTTTTAAAGGAAGATATTTGTTAGGGTTTTTTAAATATTATTTTAATTCTGTTGAGTAGACCTATAAATACTAGAAGTATATATCAACAACATAAAGATATCATTTACCATAGTGGTCTTTAAATTGAAATGGACCTTAAGGTCAATGGTTCAACACTCACTGTGTTCCTTTTGTTTTTTCAATATTGAAGGTATTTTATTATTTGGGTTATTTTTGGGTGAGTTTATTTATTATTTGGGTTGATATTATTATTTTGATGAATTTTATGGCTTACATAATACATATATGAGCTTGATTTATTGAATGATGTTTTTTGTTAGTTGGAATAAGTCTTGTGTGTTTTTTAAATTATTATTATTTTTGCACTGTTTCATTTTGAAAAGAAAATTGGAACTTTAATATTATGACCCCATAGAGTAACAATCCTGAATCCGCCACTGCTTGTTCGTATAGGCCATAGGATTTGTTTCATCTCATTGTAGCCTTTCTGTGTCATATATATTTCATTTTTTTTTTCTTCAGTACATAAATAAGAAATTGCAATGTCAATAAAAAAAGGAAACAAACTAGATAGAACATAGCAGTACAACATTAAAAACTTAATCTCATTATGTTGTCTTTTCACTTGAAGAAGTGGGATTAGAGTTGGGAAACAGTTGTATCAAACTAGAATTATAAAATGGATATACATTTACTTGTAAAGTTGAAGGATTAGCAAAATGAATTACTTCTGTCGAATTTCTCCAAATTGATGATGATGTGAATTGGTTAGTGGCTGAAAGATCCTCACGAGTTTGTAATATTATTAAGGAGAAAGGCAGAGTATGTATGTTTTTTTCCTTCTAGTTTTCCACTATAAGTTAGCTAACAATGATTTTGCATACAAGAACTTAAACTATATATCTGTATTGTTGGTGTGGCATCTTGCCACTACATCTTCATTTTCTTTTCTAATACAAATTGAAATAAAGAAAAGAAATTTGATAATTACTGTTCTTGGATTTAGATTCTCAGTGATCTAGGTTCTTTTTAATTTTAATGCCCAAAACATTGTTTAGTGTTAACTTGGTTTTAATGTTTGGTACTATTTCGATTCTTTATTTTATTTATTATGCAAATGAAATGATGTAGTTGTTAACTTCCAATAAGTGGTATGAGCAGTTGTTATACTGTTCATACCCCGCAACTGAGTTGATTTCTATGACATAGTATTAACAGTATACTTCTATGACATAGTATTATCAGTATACTTCGATGACATAGTATTAACAGTATACTTCTATGACATATTATTAACAGATTTTCAGTAACAAAGCATGCTTTATATTTTACTCTATATATAACTATGCACTTGAAGTTTATGATATGCATAATGTGATTTTTACTAGAAAGATAGTTCTATAACATAGTATTAAAAGTGTACTTTTTTTTTCTTCTTTTAGAGGTATTTCTTTTTGCTTTTGCGATTGTTTCTGGTGAAATTGTGGACAATGAGAGGTGGTTTCTGCAAAGGATATCAGATGTTTTGCTGGGCTTTTTTGGGTTTTTATTTGAAATTGTGGCCTATATAGATAAGAAGGAGCCTCAAATACCGCATCAGCTCTTATTTTAGTGCAAGATATTTTAGTACATACACACATAATTATGGCCTTGTTCAATTGCATGCTTGCAACGAGAGATTGCCATTACAAGATTACACACATAGAGATAGTACCGACATTGTTGTCGAAAAATCGGGCATTGTTAGGGTTAGCACCAAATCTTATGTTGGAGTTGGAGTCGAAATATCGGGCATTGTTAGGGTCAGCACCAAATCTTATATTGGAGTTGGAGTTGGCAAATCCCACAACGTTCTCCTCCGAGATGTTAGCTCTTATTTTAGCGAGGCCCGTGTTGTTCACACCAAATCTTTTGTTTGCAAGTCCCCTCAAGTAGTCAACGTCCTCCTCCGAGATCTTAGCCCTGATTTTAACAAGGCGAGGGTCGTTCTCATCAATTTTTTTGTTGGAGTTGGCAAATCCCTTCAAGTAGTCAAAGTCCTCTACAGAGATCTTAGCTTGGATTTTAGCGATGCGCGATTCGTCCACATCAAATCTGTTGTTGAAATTGGAGTTGGAATATCCCCTCAACTCATGATCGCCCTTAGCTTCAATTTCAATGCTCCCACCCCGAATTCCAACAAATTTGAGGTTGTTATTTTTAAGATAGGGTTTGGGGTTGATTTCATCGTCCCAACCCCTAAACCCTAAACAGCCTTGGTTGCAGAAGTTGGTTTGCTCTTGATTGGACGTCATTGTCTCTCTCACTGATTAGTTTTTAGGTTATGGTGTGTGTTTGCTCTAATGATCAACTCATTGCCTCATGGTTGGTCTCCTTTTATAGTTGTTTGCATGTGCAAAAGCAGAAGACATTTTATAACGGCCGATACCCTGAGCATAATACAAATTCTATATTGATCAGATTCTATACATTTTATCTTCTTGGAATAATATTCTACAGTGACAGACAGTACAGTCGTAGTGGCCCTTCTTGTTATAGGATCTTTTTAACTTCTTTCACAAACACTTGGCAATACATATAATATTCCTCACTCAAGTTATTGATGACTCTATATGTACAATCAGCATGCTTCACATGTATTTCACGTGTTAGTTGTTAGAAACTGTTAAGAGTTTGTTAGTTTGTTAATAGCTTACTTAAGCTTTAAGTAAGCATACTATGCTAATGTATACTGTAATTCATTCTTAACAAATATGAAAATCAGAATATACTTCTTATTCTTTGATTTCTCCCTGCCTTCTCTCTATTTTCTCTAGCTTCCTTCAATTCTAGTCTTTGTGAAATGTTTGATCTGTCATCAGTTACTACTGTGCGTAGATTGTCAAACCTCAGTAATGGGTTAGCTAATGTTTAACAAGGAATTCAAGGCTTGTTTTGTAAGTTTTGTTTTTCTTCCAAGCAATGGAGAAGGGAAGGGAGCTCTACTAAGGGTGAGAAGAGCAATGGAACTTGGTTGATAGCTTGAAAGATGGATGGTGGGAAGTCTAACTAGTAATTCCTATAACTTCGAGGACAATCCATTCTTATGATATTGCATGTTTAAAAAAGTTGAAAGCAATATTAATTGAATTGGATAAGGATAATGAAGTTGACATAGCTTTCAGAGACAGATAGATTCTATATTGATCATAATATTCACATATTAAATTCGAATTCCATATATATATATATATATATATATATATGTGTGTATAATGAAGTTGATAAATCTTTTGGAAAGGATAGATCCATATCTAATATATTCCTCATTGAAGTTACTACTATTACTATAGGTCCCCAATACTCCTCATTGAAGTTACTACTATTACTATAGGTCCCCAATACTGATTAGAATCTTTCTATCATATCAAGAATTCACCATTTATTTCGTGAGTTGTCTTTATATAGATGGTGGGAAGGTTAATTAGCTTTGCGAGTAGTTTCAAAATTCCTTGTCACACTTCGAACCCGGAATAGAGTAAAAGTCTGGGTCCCATGCCTGATGATAAAGTAAATAACAACTTAAAACCAAAATATCAACTTTCTTCTAGAATAACCAAAAACATCTCTTTTCTTCTTGCTGGCAGCTTCTTCTTTCTCCTTTCTCCTTTCTCCTTTCTTTTTAAAATTAACAGTACTTGTATTTGAACCCATTATTTCTCTATTTATTTCCATATTCCTAGGATCCAGAGGGCTAAATAGCTCTCGTAAAGCAACAATTCCCTTTATTTTTTATTTTTTAAAAATGATTCTCTAACAAATCTGTTTCCATTAATTAACATATAGGGCCAGTTTGGAATTGTAGTGTTGTGAAAATAATCACTTTCAAATTTGCTGTGATATAAATCAGCTGTGAATGAAAGCAGTTGAGCGTTTGGTAAACTATATGCTAAAAGTGATGTAGGTACAAAAATAAGTTTTATGAGTATTTGGTAAACTATGATGTAAAAGTGCTATAGTTATAAATAATGACTAAAATAGAAATGATACTGAAAATAAATTTTTATTTAACTATTTAATAAAGAAAAGATTTTCACTTTCATTTATGCAAAGCTTGTACCTAAAAATTACACACCCCAAAAATATTTCAACATAGAATAATAAAGGTAAAGAAATAACAAGTTGTGAACTTGCGTACTGCATGTTTGCCACCTGAAATATTCTTGAAGCTTCTATTATCTATTGTCCAGCCTCAAATGTCTTTATCATTGGCAACGTCTCTGATCTTCCTTCCTCTCTCCCTTAATAAATAAATAAATAAAGAAGAGAAAATGCCAAAAATTCTTTGGATCGAGATTGGTTTGGGCTGAACAATCCTCAGCTTTGTTATTCTTCCAGATGACATATCATTCTTCTTCCAGGTTCCTCTGCTATACAGAGCTTTTTCTGAGTTTGTCAAAAGAGTTGAGTTCCTCTCATCTCATGATCCGAATCATATTTATAGGATCCAGAGGGCTAAATAGCTCTTGTAAAGCAACAATTCCCCTTTATTTTTATTTTTTAAAAATGATTCCCTATCAAATAAAATACTTATGATAATAGAACATAAAATCATGTAAATATATAGTGCGCACCTGTCTCACAAACATAAAAACATTTGTGTTACGATTAAGCAACTATTTGAAAAAGAAAAAGAAAATCCATTAAATCTCTTGGTTTACACTAGAGACAAAATGTGTTTCCATTGACATAGTCTAGAAAGTTCTCCATCATTTTATTTGAAGTACATTCAAGGAAGGAGCCACAGATACTGCATTAGCTCTTATTTTAGTGCAGATATTTTATTGTGGTACACACATATTAATTATTTATTATGGCCTTCTTCAGTTGCGTGCATGCAACGAGAGATTGCCATTACAGGAATACACAGCCACCGATAGTAACGTTATTGTCAAAACCTCCGGGAGGGGCCCAACAGTTGAAACTTCTTGGACGGGCCCCGTGAAAGCTGGCCGTCCTACCACTAGCGAAGCCCGTGTTGTTCCCACCAAATCTTTTGTTGGCAAGTCCCTTCAAGTAGTCAACATCCTCCGCCGAGATCTTAGCTCTAATTTTAACGAGGCGTGGGTCTTTCTCATCAATTATTTTGTCGGAGTTGGCAAATCCCTTCAAGTAGTCAAAGTCCTCCACAGAGATCTTAGCTTTGATTTTAGCGAGGCGTGATTCACCCACATCAAATCTGTTGTTGGAGTTGGAGTTGGAGTTGGGAAATCCCCTCAACTGATGACTGCCCGTAGCTTTGATTTGATCGTTCCCACCCCAAATTCCAGTAAATTTGGGGTTGATTTCATCGTCCCCATCCCTAAACCCTGAATAGCCTTGGTTGCCGAAGTTTTTTTGATCTTGAATCGACTCTAATAGCTTTTCCAGTCCCGTAAACCCTGATTGGCCTTGGTTGCCGAAGTTGGTTTGACCTTGATTCGATGTCATTGTCTCTCTCACTGATTAGTTTTTAGGTTATGGTGTATGTTTGCTCTGATGACCAACTCATTGCCTCATGGTTGGTCTCCTTTTATAGATGTTTGCATGCGCAAAAACGGAAGATATTTTATAACGGCCGATACTCTGAGCATAATACAGATTCTATATTGATCAGATTTTATACGTTTTATCTTCTTGGAATAATATTCTACAGTGACAAACAATACAGTCGTAGTGGCCTTTCTTGTTAGAGGATCTTTTTAAATTTTTTTCACAAACACTTGGCAATACATCTCACTCAGGTTACTGATGACTCTATATATGTACAGTCAGCAGGCTTCACATGTATTTAACGTGTTAGTTGTTAGAAATTGTTAAGAGTTTGTTAGTTTGTTAATAATAGCTTACTTACGCTTTAAGTAAGCATACTATAAGTATGCTAATGTATACTGTAATTCATTCTTAACAAATATGCAAATCAGAATATACTTCTTCATCTTTGATTTATCTCTGCCTTCTCTCTACTTTCTCTAGCTTCCTTCAATTCTAGTCTTTGTGAAATCTTTGATCCGTCATCAGTTACTACTGTGCGTAGATTGTCAATGCTTGACAAGGAATTCAAGGCTTGTTTTGTAAGTTTTTTTCTTCTTTCCAACCAATGGAAAAGGGAAGGGAGCTCTTCTAACAGTGAGAAGAGCAATGCAACTTGGTTGATAGCTTGAAAGATGGATGGTGAGAAGTCGAACTAGTAATTCCTATAACTTCAAGGACAATCGATTCTTATGATATTGCACGTTTAAAAAAGTTGAAAGCAATATCAATTGAATTGGATAAGGATAATGAAGTTGACATAGCTTTTCAGAGACAGATTCTATATTGATCATAATATTCACATATTAAATTCGAATTCCATATAATGTATAATGAAGTTGATAAATCTTTTGGAAAGGATAGATCCATATCTAATATGTTCCTCATTAAAGTTACTACTATAGTTCCCCAATATTGATTAGAATCTTTCCATCATATCAAGAATTCACCACTTATTTCGTGAGTTGTCCTTAGATAGATGGTGGGAAGGTTAATTATAGCTTTGCGAGTAGTTTCAAAATTCCTTGTCACACTTCGGACCTGGGATAGAGTAAAAGTCTGTGTCCCGTGCCTGATGATAAAGTAAATAACAACTTAAAACCAAAAGTTCAACTTTCTTATATAATAACCAAAAACGTCTATAAAAACATGATATACACTTATGCTATAACTTCAGCTCTCCTAACCCTTTGGAGAAAATGTCCCATATTGGAAAACTAACAAACCTTGAAAGGATTTATAAGGAGTTGAACTACTCGCTATTGCCAATTAATTTTGGGGTGGAAGAAGGATTAGACACTTGAAATTCTACAATTGTCAACAAATTCATAGCTTTGTCCAACCATGCCATAATAGATTGTATACTCAACAAATTCAAATAGAGGGAGGACAATTAAAAGACTTAAAGGAAGGGAATCTTTCTTAGTTCGGAGTTCTAATATTCACTTCTTCTTCTTTTATTCTATATATACAAAGAGTACCGAAGATGCTTACCTTGTTTCTTGCATGCCCTTCTACAATATCCTTTAAGGTGATCAAAATCTTCCTCTTGACATCTCTGTTTTGAGATTTCCAAGGATAGAGATTATAATATCGGTGAGCCCCTCAATGGAGATCCAATCCTTGTTAACAGAATTCTCTCGCATAACATTTTGCATTTGGCTTAAGGCATCTAACATGGACGTCTCAACACCTGATAACAACTTTGCCTTGGAAGATCTTATCTTGAGGCAGTAATTACGTTCTCTCCACTCTTCTATTGATTGCCTCAATGGAAGGTTACCTCTCCATGAAGCATCTTCAAGAACCTCATGCGTTTCAACGGCTAACTAGTTTGATCCAACGGTTAAGAGATAGGACCTCACCTAAGGGCCATATATAAGGCCCTCACTATAGAATTCTTGCCGTCAGCCAACTCCTCCTATATCAAAACCTGCTGGCCAGGCAAAGCTCCCTCAGACTATTAGGGAAGATGTCGTTGGTTCATTGATAAACAAATGTCACGATTCTTCTGGTGGGTGGGAGAGAGTCAACAACGATATAAAAGATCCTAATCTACATTTTTCCAGCTACACATGTACACTAACTTTTTAGTTTTAAGGAAATGGCGAGGGAAATTCGATCTTGGGATATGTCGAAATAATATTATTAAGACCTAGTGGGTATTGCCTGTTTGATGTCAGATATCAAATTATAAATGCAAAGTTACATTGTGTACTCTTATTAAGTACATGGAATGTTCATTGTGACTTTATGCAACCTACCTTGGGTATACAATCTATTATTGGTTGGACAAAGCTATGAATTGGTTTACAATTGTAGAATTTCAAGTGTCTAATCCTTCTTCCACCCCAAAACCAATTGGCAATATCGAGTAGTTCAACTCCTTATAAATCCTTTCAAGGTTTGTTAGTTTTCCAATATGGGACATTTTCTCCAAAGGGTTAGGAGAGCTGAAGTTATAGCATAAGTGTATATCATGTTTTTATAGACGTTTTTGGTTATTCTATAAGAAAGTTGATATTTTGGTTTTAAGTTGTTATTTACTTTATCATCAGGCACGAGACACAAACTTTTACTCTATCCCGGGTCCGGAGCGTGAGAAGGAATTGTGAAACTACTCGTCCCACCATCCATATAAGGACAACTCACGAAATAAGTGGTGAATTCTTGGTATGATAGAAAGATTTAATCAGTATTGGGGACCTATAGTAGTAACTTTAATGAGGAATATATTAGATATGGATCTATCCTTTCTGAAAGATTTATCAACTTCATTATACATACATATGGAATTCGAATTTAATATGTGAATATTATGATCAATATAGAATCTGTCTCTGAAAAGCTATGTCAACTTCATTATCCTTATCGAATTCAATTAATATTGCTTTCAACTTTTTTAAACATGCAATATCACAAGAATGGATTGTCCTCGAAGTTATAGGAATTACTAGTTAGACTTCCCACCATCCATATTTAAGAATGAGATTATTATCTATAATTTGCTAAACCAGGGTCTTAAAGATCAGACCCTTGACCAGTGTTTTGCAAATGACATGCTCACAGACATAGATATGGCAGTTGGAGTGCCTTTAGAGCCCTCGGAGATAAGCAAAGAGCTAGCATATTTCAGAAAGAAGAAGCTGCCAGCAGGAAGCAAAGAGATGTTTTTGGTTATTCTATAAGAAAGTTGATCTTTTGGTTTTAAGTTGTTATTTACTTTGTCAATCAAGCATGGGACACAGACTTTTACTCTATCCCGAGTCCGGAGTATGACAAGGAATTTTGAAACCACTCGCAAAGCTAATTAACCTTCCCACCATCACGAAATAAGTGGTGAATTCTTGATATATGATTGAAAGATTTTAATCGGTTGGGGACCTATAGTAGTAACTTTAATGAGGAATATATTAGATATGGATCTATCCTTTCTGAAAGATTTATCAACCTCATTATACATACATATGGAATTCGAATTTAATATGTGAATATTATGATCAATATAGAATCTGTCTCTGAAAAGCTATGTCAACTTCATTATCCTTATCGAATTCAATTAATATTGCTTTCAACTTTTTTAAACATGCAATATCACAAGAATGGATTGTCCTCGAAGTTATAGGAATTACTAGTTAGACTTCCCACCATCCATATTTAAGAATGAGATTATTATCTATAATTTGCTAAACCAGGGTCTTAAAGATCAGACCCTTGACCAGTGTTTTGCAAATGACATGCTCACAGACATAGATATGGCAGTTGGAGTGCCTTTAGAGCCCTCGGAGATAAGCAAAGAGCTAGCATATTTCAGAAAGAAGAAGCTGCCAGCAGGAAGCAAAGAGATGTTTTTGGTTATTCTATAAGAAAGTTGATCTTTTGGTTTTAAGTTGTTATTTACTTTGTCAATCAAGCATGGGACACAGACTTTTACTCTATCCCGAGTCCGGAGTATGACAAGGAATTTTGAAACCACTCGCAAAGCTAATTAACCTTCCCACCATCATGAAATAAGTGGTGAATTCTGATATATGATTGAAAGATTCTAATCGGTTGGGGACCTATAGTAGTAACTTTAATGAGGAATATATTAGATATGGATCTATCCTTTCTGAAAGATTTATCAACTTCATTATACATACATATGGAATTCGAATTTAATATGTGAATATTATGATCAATATAGAATCTGTCTCTGAAAAGCTATGTCAACTTCATTATCCTTATCGAATTCAATTAATATTGCTTTCAACTTTTTTAAACATGCAATATCACAAGAATGGATTGTCCTCGAAGTTATAGGAATTACTAGTTAGACTTCCCACCATCCATCTTTCAAGTTATCAACCAAGTTGCATTGCTCTCTCAACGTTGCATTGCACTTCTCTGTCTCTGTGATTCTTATTCTTCATTGTGAAGTAAACATTTTATGTATGATTATCTTGGTAGTGACCTATTGTTTCTTCGTTTAGCGTTTTGAACTATTTGAGAATTTTAACTATGTTTATATGAAGATGCTGATACTTCCTTACAATCATGTGACATATCAATAATAGGCTTTAATTTTCTGAAATTGATTCAATGGTAGCAAAGGAAGATTGATGTAACAATTAGCAGGGAGTTGCTATAGGATTCTATGCAATGAAGTGCTTCCACTACTTCAACAACAAAATAAAGGAGGTGTGAACAAAGATTGCTACAGAATTGAAAGAACAGGGGAAATCTGATTATTCAGGAGCTGAATATGGTCATTAATTACCGGTTTGGCATTGCTTATTTGGGGTGATAAGTGATTTTAAAAAAAATTTGAGAAGCCCAGCCCGTTTGGTAAATTGCGAAAAAATTACTTATTGTTAAAAATTGCTGTGAGAGAAAGCTATAAGGGAAAGCAGCTAATGAGGTGCTTTCATTTTCTGATTATGCAGGAATCAGTTTCGAAGAGGTGTTGGGTTTAATGATTATGCAGCAATCATTTTCTGATTTTGCATAAAATCAATACCAACAACACTTTTAACAAAAATTTTACCAAACGCCAAACTGCTTTATCTCACAACTGATTTCTCTCACAGCAAATCTGACAGAGATTATTTTCACAGCACAGCAATGCCAAACTGGCCCTAAGTCTTCATGCTCAACAAAATCACCCCACTCTGTAAACCAGAATTGTATGAAGAGAAGGTTTCAAATATGTTAATGAGATATGAGTACATTTGCTGTTTTATGTAGGTTCATAGTATTTGTAGGTATTTTTAATGGCGAATTCATATGGTTAATTTTACTTAAAAATACAGGAATGGGTCCACAGTGTAGCAAATGGAGATGCTAGCATGTTGAAAATAAAAATACATGCGACCAAAAAAAAAGAAAAAAAAGAGATTCAAAACCAAATGTTGATGTATGCACTGTAGTAGAACATTTGCTTTACAATGGTCTGAAAATGGTTTTTTTATTTTTAAATAAAAATAAAAAAAAGCAACCAATAAAGATGTTTTCCCAACTATAAAAGCACCACCTTAAGAATTATAAACAAAATTAAAGGATTCTTAATGTACTTTATTGCACTTAAGTGAAACATAGAAAATGCCTCTACTTTCTTTGACATAATATTTGTGACGAGACTTAAATTAAAAAATTACCATTCTGCATTACCATACAATTGCATACAATCCTCCTATTTTACATTGTTAAAGCCTCTTTAGGCCCAAAATTGTGTTTATCATAGTGTTAAGGTAGCACACAATTGCATATAGTTCTCCTATTTTACATTGTTAAAGCCTCTTTAGACCCAAAATTGTGTTTATCATAGTGTTAAGGTAGCAAATTATGAAAATGGCACTATTTTTGATACAGTTTTCTTCCGATAATTGGAGTAGACAGGTAGCAAAGGATAAACTATCAAAATTGAAGGTGAGTATACTGTTCCCAAATTATGCTAAAATTTGATTAGCACAAATTTAAAAGTATATGTTTAAGTTTGGTCTCATCTCATGTTATTTATGTATAGATTGACAATAAAAAAGTGAAAGATCAATTAGAGAAGAACGTGTGGCGCAAGTGGTCTTGATCGTTGCATTTCTTCCTCCAATGTGCATATTATGTAGGCTTAAATGTCAAAATAGTCCCTGTATTTGGCCAATTTAGTCCTCGTGCTGCTATACTATTTTTTATATAATAAAAATGCGGTAGTATGGGGCGGTGATACCCCTCAATTATATTATATTTAAAAGGAGTACAGTAGAGCGGCTATACTATTTATTAAATAAAATTACGAAAAAAGAACCATTCTATTTGCATTAGTTTATACTTTATACTTTATAGATACTAGCCTTCATGCACGCGCTTACGCCATGCAAGAGGCTTTTTAAAAATCACGCGCGCTACGCGAGACTTACAAAGTTTCGTAAATATTTTTTTGCAATTGTATTTATATAGATGTCTGTTTGACTGTTTCATATTTTAATCGTGCATGTGTGATAAATCGTCGTCTTAAAAATTTTCCTTTTATTTCCCGTATTTTTCTAGATGTCAATCTTAGTACACGCTATATAAGAAGAAAAAAAAACAGCTAAGATGGACGTCTAGAAAAATATGGGCAATAAACGGAAAACTTTTAAGACGACAATTTATCACATGCGCACGATTAAAATATGAAACGGTTGAAATTGACATTTATGTAAATACATTTGCGAAAAGATATTTACGAAACTTTGTAAGTCGCTCGTAGCGCGCGTGATTAAAAAAAAAGCCTCTCGCACGCACGTAAGCGGGTGCAGGAAGGCTAGTAAGATATTATTCCAAGAAGATAAAATGTATAGAATTTGTATTCTTAGGGTATCGGCTGTTATAAAATATCTTCTACTTTTGTGCATGCAAACAACAACTATAAAAGGAGACCAACCATGAGGCAATGAGTTGATCATCAAAGCAAACACACACCATAACCAAAAAAACTAATAAGTGAGAGAGACAATGACGTCGAATCAAGATCAAACCAACTTCTACAACCAAGGCTATCTTAAGGGTTTAGGGGTGAGGATGATGAAATCAACCCCAAACCCTATCTTAAAAATCCCAACCCCAAATCGATTGGAATTTGGGGTGGGGATGATGAAATCAAAGCTATGGGCGATCATCAATTGCGATATTCCAACTCCAACTTCAACAACAGATTTGATATGGGCGAATCGCGCCTGCTAAAATCAAAGCTAAGATCTCTGTGGAGGACTTTGACTACTTGAAGGGATTTGCCTCCAACAAAAGAATTGATGTGGACAACCCAGGCCTCGCTAAAATCAAAGGTAAGATCTCGGAGGAGGACGTTGCGGGATTTGCCAACTCCAACTCCAACTCAAGATCTGCTATGGGCAACCCAGGCCATCCTAACGTTGCTGGATTTTTCGACAACAATGTCGGTACTATCTGTGTAATCATGTAAGAATAATGCTACTCTTACTACATTTGTATACCGCATTCCTATACCATCTTATGTGGAAGCTAAGGTGAACAACCACATCAATTAAAATTATTTAATATTTTCTTTTCTTTTATGATTTATTCTAGTATTTGTTTTTCTAATTGTCTTAATTAAAATACACTTCATTGATTTAATTGATGTGGCATATAATATGGACATGCCACATCATGTGGTATAAAAATGTGGGTTAAAAATGTGGTAAGTGTAGCATTACTCAACTACTATTTGATACGTGGAACGATTTTGTGTGCTATGAGTCAGTGTTTGTAGAATTGGGCCGGGCTTGTATCCTCTCTTCTTTTTCTGGGCTTTGCCTTTTAAAAAAAATAAACACTAATAATGAATCCCCCCAAACCCAAGCCTGCAAGTCAAACTTAATTTGGAGAAAAACTTAGTTACAACGGGATAACATAATTTTGTTATCACCGGCCATTAATGCTATGACACGCATAATAATTTTTTAGTACTGCTATTTCCACCCACCTTATCTTCAAAATTTTAAAGACAAATTTACCCCTTCATAAAATGACTTTTAAGGACTTATGGAAAATGATTAAAAAAACAAAACAATTGCCTCAAACTTAAAATTAAAAAAAGTTAAAAAAAATTTCCAAAGCACAAAGATCAAACATCAAATCCAAAGCACCCCTCAACCTCTTATTTTATCTCCATCCTAAAACCCGAACCTCAAAAGTTTTGAGCCAAAACGATGGATTCTTCATCAGAAACTCTAGTCATCATGTACTCTTCCCATTTGTAGGAGGCTAGCAAATCCCAAAGATCAACATGGCAAAAGTCTTCTCCTCCCACGGAGCAAATCCCAATGTAATCAAATGCTCATGTTGAAAATATGTTCTATTAGTTTTGTTTTGGTCATCAAATCTCTCCAATTAGAGCAAACAATTGCTCTTTTCAATCATTAGATTAAATTTAAATGACTCACAAGTTAACAGAAAAGAGAATTTGCTTGAATTAATAATTGAAGGGTATTTTAAGAATAATGGCGGGTGGAAAGATAAGATTGTATTTTTTCAAATTTACATGGTGAGTGGGAATATAAGGTGGGTGAGAAAATAGGACAGGTGGGTGGAAATAGCACCACTCAAATTTTTTTATGTGGCAAAACGTTAGTGGCAGGCCCTTTTGATGCAAGTGTTTCTCTCTCCAATTTGACATACAAATCAAGATCCCACATACACATTTGAATATTCTTGGAAAATAAAAATTAAACAACGCAGAGAGAATATCATACCACAAAAATGCGTTCTTAGAAGACTCGCCTACTAGACAAAAGTAAAACACAATAAAAACAAGATTTTTGGTGTAAGATTATTAGTATATAAAAACGTGGCCGATAGATAAGAAAGGAGCCTCAAATACCGCATCAGCTCTTATTTTAGTGTAAGATATTTTAGTACATACACACACATTATTATGGCCTTGTTCAATTGCATGCTTGCAACGACAGATTGCCATTACAATATTACACACAAAGAGATAGTACCGACATTGTTGTCGAGAAATCGGGGGCGGACACTTTTGGCCGTACTACCATTCATTTTAGCGAAGCGTCCTCCTCCGAATCTTTTGTTGGCAAGTCCCTTCAAGTAGTTAGCGTCCTCCTCCGAGATCTTAGCTCTGATTTTAACGAGGCGTGGGTCGTCCTCATCAATTATTTTGTTTGAGTTGGCAAATCCCTTCAAGTATTCAAAGTCCTCCACAGAGATCTTAGCTTTGATTTTAGCGAGGCGCGATTCACCCACATCAAATCTGTTGTTGAAGTTGGAGATGGGAAATCCCCCCAACTGACGATTGCCCCGAGCTTTGATTTCATCGTCCACACCCCTAAACCCTAAATAGCCTTGGTTGTAGAAGTTGGGAATTTGATCTCGATTCGACGTCATTGTCTCCCTCACTGATTAGTTTTTAGGTTATGGTGTGTGTTTGCTTTGATGATCAACTCATTGCCTCATGGTTGGTCTCCTTTTATAGTTGTTTGCATGTGCAAATGCAGAAGATATTTTATAACGGCCAATACCCTGAGCATAATACAGATTATATACATTTTATCTTCTGTGAATAATATTCTACAGTGACGGACAATACAGTCGTAGTGGCCTTTCTTGTTAGAGGATCTTTTTAACTTCTTTCACAAACACTTGCAATACATATAATATTCCTCACTCAAGCTATTGAATTGATGACTCTATATGTACGGTCAGCAGGCTTCACATGTATTTCACTTGAATTAATAACTTCGAGGACAATCCATTCTTGTGATATTGCATTTGCATGTTTAAAAAAGTTGAAAGCAATATTAATTGAATTCGATAAGGATAATGAAGTTGACATAGCTTTTCAGCGACAGATTCTATATTTATCATAATATTCACATATTAAATTCGAATTCCATATGTATGTATAATGAAGTTGATAAATCTTTCAGAAAGGATAGATCCATATCTAATATATTCCTCATTAAAGTTACTACTATAGGTCCCCAACTGATTAGAATCTTTCTATCATATATCAAGAATTTTCACCACTTATTTCGTGATGGTGGGAAGCTTGATTAGAATCTTTCTATCATATATCAAGAATTCACCACTTATTTCGTGATGGTGGGAAGCTTAATTAGCTTTGCGAGTGGTTTCAAAATTCCTTGTCACACCCCGGACTCGGGATAGAGTAAAAGTCTGTGTCCCATGCTTGATGACAAAGTAAATAACAACTTAAAACCAAAAGATCAACTTTCTTATAGAATAACCAAAAACATCTCTTTGCTTCCTGCTGGCAGCTTCTTCTTTCTGAAATCTGCTAGCTCTTTGCTTATCTCCGAGGGCTCTAAAGGCACTCCAACTGCCATATCTATGTCTGTGAGCATGTCATTTGCAAAACACTGGTCAAGGGTCTGATCTTTAAGACCCTGGTTTAGCAAATTATAGATAATAATCTCATTCTTAAATACAGACACACAAATATTCATGTACATTGCTACAAATTTCGGGAGGGACGAGTTAACAAATCTTTCATCTCTCTTGGGGAAAAAATTAACAAACACACACACACACACACAACAGTCAGCATACTAATTGGCCAAGGACAGAAACTTACGGTTGAATCGTAGGAAACTAAAAGTAATACCAGTTCTCAAACAACTAAGAAAGCATAAACAAACAAAAGCTAGAAGTTCAGTGATTTAGGAAATTAAAGTTAAAATTAATCATAGTTAGAAAACTACTATTTGATGCGTTAACGATTTTGTGTGCTACGAGTAAATGTTTGTAGAATTGGGCCGGGTTTGTTTCATCTCCTCTTTCTCTGGGCTTTGCTTTTTTTAAAAAAAACTTAAATAATGAATCCCCCAAACCCAAGCCTACAAGTCAAACTTAATTTGGAGAAATATTTAGTTACAATGGGATAACATTATTTTGCTATCATCGGCCATTAATGATATAACACGCGTAATAATTTTTTCATGTGGCAAAACGTTATTGGCCCCCGGTTTGATGCAAGTGTTTCTCCCTCCAATTTGTCTCAGGCTACCTACCATGTCTTTTCTTCTACTTAGAAATTGTAAATTTCATAAAATATATATATAAACGAATGAATAATAAGTCTTTGGTTTAAATTCCATGGCTTAAATTAAATCCAACACATCTTAGTTCAGTTTAAAACGTACGTGATATGGACTTGGATTAGGCATGTATTACACTTAATGTTGATTTGCAAATCTAATGCCCTCTTTGCTGTGGTCTAACGATGCACACAAGAATCCAATTATGCGAGGCTATTGGTCCAACTAATAAACAAAAACATCTATAAGAGAAAATCTTTTTTCCACTGACATAATCTAAAAGTTAAATATTGACAAACAAACAAAATCTAAAATCTAAAAATCTAAAAATTTAAAGTTTGAATTTGATATTTAATGTCAAGCTCCATTTATTTTTTAGAAGAACATTTACATAAAAACGTGGCCTATAGATAAGAAAGGAGCCTCAAATACCGCATCAGCTCTTATTTTAGTGTAAGATATTTTAGTACATACACACATTATTATGGCCTTGTTCAATTGCATGCTTGCAACGACAGATTGCCATTACAGGATTGCACAGATTTTAATTTTAACACTGATAATATGTCCCTGCACAAGGTTGGAGGAGTCGGCAAGTTCCTTCAAGTAGTCAACGTCCTCCTCCGAGATCTTAGCTCTGATTTCAACGAGGCGTGGGTCGTTCTCATCAATTTTTTTGTTGGAGTTGGCAAATCCCTTCAAGTACTCAAAGTCCTCCACAGAGATCTTAGCTTTGATTTTAGCGAGGCGCGATTCGTCCACATCAAATCTGTTGGAAAATTCCTTCACCTGAGGATCGCCCTTAGCAATTTCATCGTCCCCACCCCTAAACCGTAAACTGAGTTGACTCGATGCCATTGTCTCTCTCACTGATTAGTTTTTAGGTTATGGTGTGTGTTTGCTCTGATGATCAACTCATTGCCTCATGGTTGGTCTCCTTTTATAGTTGTTTGCATGCGCAAAAGCAGAAGATATTTTATAACGGTCGATACCTTGAGTATAATACAGATTCTATATTGATCAGATTCTATACATTTTATCTTCTTGGAATAATATCTTATAACGACCGATACCGTAAACCCTTAAGTAAGCATATACTATATGCTAATGTATACTATAATTTGCCAACGAGGATTGGTTGAGTTGGTAAGGATCATTCTCTTTGCTATCAAGGCCTAAGTTCGAATATTGTTACCGACAATCCCTCTTGGTGAGTAATCTATAAAAACCAAATAAGGGGCTCAAACTCCCCTCCCCCTAAACTTTTTTTCACCAAGAAAAAAATGTATACTGTATTTCATTCTTAACAAATATAACTTGGTTGATAGCTTGAAAGATGGATGGTGGGAAGTCTAACTAGTAATTTCGAGTAATTTCTATGACTTCAAGGACAATCCATTCTTATGATATTGCATGTTTAAGAAAGTTGAAAGCAATATTAATTGAATTCGATAAGGATAATGAAGTTGACATAGATTTTCAGAGACAGATTCTTTATTGATCATAATATTCACATCTTAAATTCGAATTCGATATATATGTATAATGAAGTTGATAAATCTTTCGGAAAGGATAGATCCAAATATATACAAAGAGTGTTATAAAAAATATAGTTTTCCTTTTTCGTAAAACCAAATACAAAACATTTATATTATAAATAACATGTAAACAAATTGAAAAGCTTTTAAGGTACAATGAAATTGAAGAAAACAAATTAATAGGTAGGTGAAATTAAAATAAATAATAAGTAAGAATGTGAGTTTGGTACGGTGAAGCACATCAAAGACATTGTCCTAAAACCTTTGTAGCCTCCCTACGTGCAGGTACTGGCGGTTTACAATACTCCAAGATACGACCCCTTGTACACAAACTCAAGATCCGCTATGAGCACATTCATAGACGGATATATGTATCCAAATCACAGAACCGTTGCCAAAAATAATAATATGTGTAGAGAAAATATAAAAGGTATAAGAGGAGAGAATTAGATTGTGGTATGTGATATTCTGATGGTGTATTGTGTGTTGTATGTAGGGGCCTTTTTCTTCTAACAGCTACAAATAGGCTAGGCTGCCGTAAAAAGCAAAATGGATGAAATTACCCCTATGTCTGAGTTCAAATATCAAATCCCAAAATGTTTCAAGAGGATAGTAAAGCACTAGGAAACACCTTGGTTACCTTCACCAACGAAAATAATGGCTGCTTACAGATAAATTCTTAGTGCTTACAGGTAGAATCTTAGCTTGGCATGAGAGACTTGTGACATGGGAGCAAAGTTGTCATGAGTTTAGCACTGAAGAGAAAATTAAGTGTTCCTAGGGGAAAGATGGGGTATTAAGGTAGGAGAGAAAGGGTTTTACAGAAAGGTTTGGTTGAGAATGAGGGAAAGAGAGGAATGAGTGGCTTGAATGTTTTTCCGGCAGCTTGACAGAAGCTCTGTTAGTCTGCCAGAAGAGGAAAAATGGGGGGAAAAGATGAATAGAGCACGAATTTGCTGGGTTTTGCAAGTGAGAGAGGAAGCTTACTCTCTGGATGTGGTTAATTGTTGGGTAGAAGAGGCCTCTTTTATAGCCGCTGGAAGCTATCCATTTCCAAGAAACCCTAATGGTTTCTATTCAATTTGGCCAAATCTTTTCCTTTCTTTCTCTTCTCCTCCCTTGACTTTTCCCATCTTGGTGAAACTTCCTCTGCCTATTTGCTCAAGGTCCCTTTGCCGTAGCTGCCCTAGTGAAGAACTCCTATTCTCAGCCATCCCCTTTCCTTTCCTTCCTTCCCTTTTTCATGGTCAGATCTGATGAAGGAAAGAAATGGGTATACCCGCTGGTTCGAAGGGTGGCTCCCTCCCTGGCACGCTGCGTGCCAATATTTATTGGTCCCTTGGATGTTTTTGCTTGAAAACTTGTTCCTCCATCATGTGCTGGAGCTTCCCAGCAGCTTTGTGTACGTGGACATATTTGCTCTTCTCGTGGCTTTTGTTTCTCAACCAAGTGCTAGTGGTTTTGCAGATCCTTATTTTAGTTATATGGGCCTTCTAGGTCAATGGGTTGGCCTATTTTGTTGAGGTGTTGGGCTAATTTTGGTTAGGCTAATGGGATATTTTCTCCTTTGTGCTTACTGACATGTTTGGGCCTAAGAAATGGGCTGGAGTTCCGAGGCTCCCAAGCAACCCGAAACCTCCATTTCTCAGCCCATCAATGAGCCTCATGACAATTTATTATCATCCATACCACAACCCACTCAAGCAAGCCCCGGGCATTTGAGTGGCTTAGGCCCACTTAGGCTTGTAGTGTGGTTGGGTGTGAAATAATGATTTCCCGCTTAGCATGGCATGTCGCTTGGTACGCTTTTAATTATGATGCTTGATGGGATAATTAGCATGGATTTGCAGAGCTAATGCATTTTATAATCTTAATCTCGATTCCTAGCATGATGGATTATTTATTCGGCATGGCACGTGGAGTGTGACTAGTGCATGGTGGACTTTTGTGAGGTCCAAATTGGGTCTTTTCTCAATAATATATCGTTTTGGGCCGGGAATATATTCGGGCCCAACCGTGAATTTTTTGGGCCTCAACATTGTACAAATGTGAAGGAGAAGTCTCTTTTATAGGCATCCAATAATATGTAACATTTACCACATTAAACTAGAAAATTAAGGCATTCAATATACTAGCCCCTTGGCACATGCTTACGCATGTGCCAATTGGTTTTCTTTTTTCTTTTTTCTTTTTTCTTTTATTTTTAGAATTAAAAAAAGATAACATGGGTAGTTATGTTCCATAAAAGTAGGACCTATTATCTGATTTTGTTTTTATTTTTATTTTTTTTAATATGAAAAAAAAAAGTGAATTTACCATATTATCTTCATTTAATTAATAATTTCAATTCTTAATGTTTGAATTAACCAATGACATTTTTTGGTATTTTGAATGTTTCACCATTCTCTACCTTTTGCTTTATATATATAGATAAATAATATCTGAAAATTAAATATGTATAACCCCCACAATAAATAAAATAAAAATGCCAAAATAATTAAATAAGTAAAAAGGATTAAATTTTTAAAACCTTTTAAAATTCTAACAAAGAGTACCGAAGATGCTTACCTTGTTTCTTGCATGCCCTTCTACAATATCATTTAAGGTTATCAAAATCTTCCTCTTGACATCGCTGTTGTGAGATTTCCAAGGATAGAGCAGTATTTAAGTTCTCTCCACTCTTCTATTGATTGCCTCAATGGAAGTATCTTCAAGAACCTCATGAGTTTCTGGGTCAGTTCTCTTTCCACTGTCAAATCAGCATACTAATTTGCCATGGACACACACCACATCTTTCATCCCTCGTAGGAAACTAAAAGTAATACCTGTTCTCAAACAACTAAGAAAGTAAACAAACAAAAGCTAGAAGTTCAATAATTTAGGAAATTAAAGTTAAAATTAATCGTAGTTAGAAAACTACTATTTGATACGTGGAACGATTTTGTGTGCTACAAAAAACCATTAATAATGAATCCCCCAAACCCAAGCCCGCAAGTCAAACCAAGGTCTTAAATATCGATAGTTTCGGAAATATCGGTGGTTAAAAAACACGGAAATATCGATGGAAATATTGGGAAAATATCGATATCGATAAAAATTGGATAAAAACCACAGAAATTGTGATAAATACATGGAAATTTTTAATGAAACTTTAGAAGAAGTTTATTTAGTCAATCATCTATTATTTTGACACAAAAAATTGGAAGGAAATGCATTGCATAGTGGGTTTGAGTGATTTAAGTTGCATGGTAAGATACATGTGTAACCTTATTTCACATTATTCATTGGACATGGTACACGTTCTTATATTTATTATTTATCAAAAATTGAAAAATAATTAAACCAACTTGACTTTCATGAAAATTAGGCACTTTACCATACTTAAAAAATAATAGTGAAGATTGAAAATTAACTAAGAACATAAATAAATTTATCAAAGAAAGAATTAAGTAGTAAACAAAGAAAATAATTATAGAGATTTAAGTAATTAAGCAACAATTTGAAGGGGAATTTAGTAATGCACTTATAATAAATAATAAAATAATCAATAACATTAAATGGATTAAATAGAAAAGAACCATAGCTTATTATCACAAAGTGATGACTGGCGTGGTGGTTAAGTGGTTGCAAAAATTCAGAGTTGGGAGAGGTTTGAACCCACTATGCGCTCAGTTTAAATTGTTTCATTTTTGACAGAGTTCAAGTCACGATATTATCGATATATATAGCTGGAATTGTGCTAAAATTTCGCATTATTGACCGCCAGTTTAATGCAAGTGTTTCTCCCTCCAATTTCACATACAAATCAAGATACCACATTTGAATATTGTTGGAAAATAAAAATTAAAGAACCCAGAGAGAATATCATACCACAAAAATGCGTTCTTAGAAGACTCACCTACGACTACGAGACAAAAGTAAAACACAATAAAATCAAGATTTTTTGTGTAAGATTATTAGTATATAGAGCCTCTTCTTTTGTAGTCTTTCTACACTCTTAAAATCTCAAAATCAACCTTGACTAGTGCTAGGTGACGATGTGGCCATCACACTTGAAAGAAGACCGAGAAAAAAGACTAGACTGATGGAGATTGGTAAGGATTGCAATGCAGATAGAGACTTAGGTCTACCTAATTATTTCTAGCCATGAATTTTTGTTTGCCCCAGGCTCCCTACCAAAGTAGATACCATATTGATAATCAGCCACGGTTAGCATGTCTTTTCTTCTACTTAGAAATTGTAAATTTCATAAAATATATGAATAATAAGTCGTGGGTTTAAATTCCATGGCTTAAATTAAATCCAACACAGCTTAGTTTA